GATGCATCCGTTCATACCCAAAAGTTTTCTCTAAATAGTAAAACAGATTATTTACGGGATAAATAGAGGGGTTCTACCGTCGTTCTTATCGGTTTGTTTTTCATAGTTCACTGTTATTTAGTACCTTTTCGATGCTTAATTAAGTAAAAATTTAGTATGAACGGATGCATCTTGTCACGGAGAATCCGAAGTTGTCCTTGGATTTTAAAATCGACTTTGTTTTCATGAAGAAAACGTCGAAAAACTAATCATCAACGCAAATAATGAAAAAAATACATAGAAAAATAGCGTTTTTTCACCATAAAAAGTATTTTCAACATATCTCCATGAAAACAAAAGTTAATTGGCAACCATCTCATACCAAAATGTTCAGAATTAAAAGCTCTACGAACTAGACTGTACATAATCTATAACAGTAAGAATGAGCGCAAAAAATGTTATAACCGACTGAGCGCTTTCTACGTTAGAAAGGTCAAAATTATCGTATTTGTCCAATTACTTTTCGAATTCGAAAAAGCGAACGTTCTAATCTAGTGTATCTTGTAGAGCATGAAATTCTCTACAAAACCCTTTATATGGTAATCTCAGGGAATAAAAGTTTTTCCTAAGGTTGTTCGTTACAAATATATACACTATAATATAGGTGGTGGAGTATAGTATTTGGGAGTGCTATATAAGAAAAATTTTTGAGAGACCCTTATAGTTTTATATCAAAATGTAGCCCAACACTTGGGCTTTCAGAATATATAAGATGGTTCGCATTTCATATGTATAGTTGGAGAGATCCGGAAACAGGAAGATTTTCTTAAAAACCAGATTTTCCTATTTCAGCTCTAGACTCCCACATATCTGATGACATATATTGATGTACTTATTAAAGAAATTTTCCAAACTGATATGCGGGTTTTTCATACCCATATATGGACTACAAATGCTGAAAGTTTCAGTCGATTTGGAGAAAGTCGATGTAAACGTGGTTGAGACCCCATGGAAATACCCTACCGTATCTATCTAAATATATGAACGGAATATTATATCTTTGAAATAAAACACCAATACAGAATTGTTCAAGTGGATATAATATTTGAGAATCAATATATATATTAGAGAGTGTGTTGGTTTTGTGAGCATGCTGACTTAATGAATGATAAAGGTCAACGAACGTGCTTTTGGTGTCCTTAAGAGTAAAATTGTTGGCCTTTGTTGCGATCTTGAATTGATTACCGAAATCTTTTTCATTTAATAATTTCTCCAATAGTTTTTTGACGGGTAAGCTTCTCTTTGGCGAACACTTTGCTTTTATCTTATTTTCGCGAATGAAGTCCATTGCACCGCGTAAATGAAATCGATTGGTGACTTTGAGATAGTCTATGGTTAACATTCGAATTTGATTTAGACGCTGATGATCTATTTCGGAATGTGCACGTTCCATTCTCCTTGCTAGTTCGACTGAATAATTAGTAAACTGACTGCATATGTCAGTTAGATATCTCTCAAATATATGTGAATGAGCACAGCACACTTCTGGTGGATCAGGCACATGAATTTCTAACTTTAGCAGTCGATCACACCGAGTACTTGCTGATAACGCACACATATGCAGTACAGGATGACTACGAGTGATTGTCGATGGCCAACTGAGTAATTGCTGACAACGAAACATCGTTGAGATAATACGAATGCGAATACTTTCGTCTATTGTTCTTTAAAATAGAAGTTATTTACCTAAATCCTAACCTGCTTTCTAAAAATGGCACACATTTTATATTACGAATTTATACGGCTACTTTGACTTAACTATGAAAAGTTAGAAGTGTAATCACTCTGAAAATGAAAACCTTCAGATCTTTCAATAAAATCTATAAAATGAGAAAAATATTGAGCGGAATATGAGAGAAGAAATGATTCTTATGGAAAACATTTTTAGGCGAATGCAATCATAAAAAAGAGTGTATTGAATATATCGCAGAAAGAAAGAAGATCATTTATTCTCAATCGATTTCAAAAAAATTTCCTTGAGAAATTTTTCAACAATTTCTATCGACGTTTTTTTATGATTCCATAGAAACGTGAGAAATGTAACTTTTTTTTATCGTTCTTTCTTGCTTGAGTGAGCATTTTCCAATGAAGTACTACTGTTTGAAGTGTTAACAAATTCATTTTGCCTTAACAACGATAAACTTAAAAAAACAGTCTCCAAAAACGATCATAATTAAGTGACTATTGTTGACTAAAAGGCAGAAATATGTCCCTCGATAAATTAGAAAAAAACCATTCTATCGTATTTTATAACAAAACTGTAAGATCGATCGCACCACATTGATTTCACTAAAATGGTAGAAAAAAAAGTTTTAGATAATGATTCGATCACGAAATAATCATAAAAGCCCTACGTGTAAGAAATAAGGTGCAGATAAAACAAATTTAGGACAACATTTGCTTTCTTTCCCTTTTCTTACATCTACTGGTAGGACTTTCAGCGTTGGCCACAAATGTCAGCTTATTAGCCTGTGCCAAACTTTTCTTTCGGTCGAAAAACTCGAATCACTTACGAAAAAATTTTTCAAGAAAAGTGAATCCTTTCACTGAAGTTCAAAAGTGTTTGATTGCATCAGGCATTTTCGGTTCTTTAAACTAATTTTACTTAATTCAGTATCACACACTGCACTTAACAACGTCTTTAGATCGATTAAAAACTCGACGGTGTGAGTGTTGGAGACAGCTAGTAGGAAAACGCATACCCAGATTCTAAACCTGATATTCTTAATCGGAACACATCATTTCAAAACTGTTAATCTTGAAAACATAAGTGGATTTAACCGATAGTTTGATTTATATCTCTGGTTAAAATATATGAAGAACAGACAATCTTTTTTACGCACTGTTGTCATCACAGTAAAATGCTGTGCATATTGAAAGAAGTAAAAGATTGTTATGTTGTGAGAAGATGTCCTTATAACATCTGTACTATCCGCTGTACTATAGTACTTGTTGTAAATAAGATAATATTATTTATTGATGTGTTAACAACATATCTTGTCTTTCTATTAGACATCAAGTTGAATCTGTTTATAGACATATTTTATAGTTTAACGGAATTCTGTTCCTTGATGTTTTGAAAGAAGTATTTCTGAATGTTTGTCAGTCGGTAGATGTTTTAGAATGGTGATTGGGTACATTCTACGCTTTCAATGTGAGAATCTTTTGCTGATTAGGACCTGCCAGTTGTCATTTCATAAGTTTAATTGCTTTACTTCAAGACGTCTATCTATTAGTATAATAAAGAAGTGAAAAGAAACACCGGGAAGAAACAACAAGCTGTTTAATAAATAACTTTCCATTTGCGCCCTGTGATAAACGAAATGACGTCTTTCCAGTGTTAAAATAAAAATTAGTAAAGGAAATTTCCATTACCTTAATAACACAACATCAGTAACATAGAAAAAGAAAATGGAGATTGTTTCAAAAATTATTTTCATTTCATTCGCAGTTTGCACAATTGTAAGTTATGTTTGTTCTCAAAGTATGGCTATTATTTCTCTTTACTTGTACTCAACAATCGTCTGCACAAAAAATGCGATCATTTCGAATGTCAGTTATAAATGATCGTCAATTCCAATGTTCAAATACTACTTGTGTACCATTTTTGAATGTTACTTCATTAAAGACTCGTGATTGTCAATGGAAATGTTTAAGCGAAATACAGTGTGAAGCAATTACTTTTCAGGCATCAAACGCCAATTGCCAATTGTTTTCTAATATATCAAACCAACTCAATAATATGCTCATGAATTTCAATACTGTAACGATGATTGTTATCGATGGAGCACGTATACCGTCCGTTCCGAAGTTTCGTACTCAAATAACTTACCCAATGAATAATAATGCAGCCTATGTATTAGTTCAAGATGTCAACTATGATAATAAACTGGATATTCTTACGGCAAGCGAGTCAGTAAGTAGAGTAAGCATACGTTACAATCAAGGAAACGGAACATATGGTCCTCTATTAAATATTACAGTTAGCAGTAAGCAATACATGCTAGTACTGGAAGATCTCAATAATGATAACATATCTGATATTATTGTAACAAATAATGGTGTAGCGACCATAGGTATTCTTTACGGAAAGGGTAATGGTACATTCAATTCGGAAATCACTTTAGCAGCTGGTGCAAGTCCAATTGCATTGGCAGTAGCTGACATAAATGATGACCATAAACCTGATATTCTTTATACAAATTGGAATAGAAATGCTATTATAGTATACATAAATAAAGGTAATGCAACGTTTTCTCCTGATTTGAATTTCACAACTGATGTGAATGTATATGCAATGCAAGTAATTGATATAAATAATGACGCAAAACTTGATATTATTTGTGTAAGTGAACAATCAAATAGCGTTAGCATCTTTTTTGGTCGGGGAAATGGGACATTTCTTTCTCGACTGATTTATTCAGTTGGCAATGGTCCACACTCATTCGCAATTGGTGATATCAATGGTGACAGTAATCTTGATATTGTTGTAGCTAACTCCGGCACAAATACGACCAGTATTTTGATGAATGGAGGTGATGGCTCATTTCTAACACAAACTACGTATACTGTTGGTACTGCACCACTTTCGGTACAAATATGTGATGTTAATGATGACAAACATCCAGATATTATTGTTGCGAATAAGGGTTCGAATGGAATTAGTATTTTGTTGAACAAAGATGACGGAACTTTCTTTAGTCAAATCACTTACACAGCTGGTGCCGCGCCATCATCAATTGCAGTTACTGATGTTAATTATGATAATAAATCTGATATTATTGTTGGAAATAGCAATTCTAATAACTTCGGCATCTTTTTTCATATTTGAACTTCGTTTCTTCGCTTGTGACAGACTATATATATAATTATCATCATTTAAATAAAGTTTTAATCTCTCTTTTCTTATTTTGGATTCATATTCTCGTTATTGTGTTCTGTAGGGTAAGGATAAGTATTGAATTCGTCTATTCATATTGCTCAAGGTCGTTTCATTCAACGGTTTATAAGAATTAAGTATTGTGAGAAGTATAATTGTCGGAAAAAAAGCCATGTAGTCTATAAGAAATACATTTAAGAAAAAGCTATAGCGATGGTTCTTTGTGTCTGATCGAAATAAGCAGTTTAGAGTGTCGATTGAAGCAAGATTTTATTGACAGCAGGTGAATAAGATGATAAAGTAAGTTGTGCTTTAGGTACCATGTCAGTTCCATGAAATATGTTTACTGCAAAATACTTTGAACTAGGTAATGCACTTTTTGCTGAAAAAATCTCATTTTCGATCTTACAAAACTCTCGCGTTTATGTGAAGTAATGGTTGACTTCCTTCAGTAGCAATGAAGAAATTCTCTGTTTAGAAAGATATTCATTATCCGATGTGCTAATCGACTACAACAATGGATTTGGCGAATGAACTTATTTCAAAGTGATTCTTTCGGTGGGGAAACAATCCGCGCTCAACGCTATCTGTCATTAAGCTATATTGTCCTTTTCATGTAAACTGCTTTACAAGATGCGCACTCATTGACTATTCAATATCCTTGTACAGCTGTATCAATCCAACAATCAATATTTATTCAAATTAATTCGACTTTCCATCAAGTGAGCTAGCTTTTCTTTATTTCGTATTCATTAGCTGATGAATATGGAGTTAGTTGAAGTTGAAAACGTTTCCATTTCCTTTTAGATGTGTTCAAGTTCATTTATCACAGATGATTGGTTCACAGCCTCTTTTGATAACGGGTTCGTCAGCCTTTGGCAAACGGATGTACGGACAGCAATGAGTTCGTACGTCCAAGGTCTTCGTTTTCTGTGTCAAACGAGACTAAAATAACATCAATACTCTAGGTGGATGTATTGTTTCTTCTTATACCTATACAGCACCTCAGTGGATTGCACTCGACCTTTCAGAGAATATAATTAGTAATACTGGAGGGCATTTATATGCTTTTTCTACGATCTTTATCAATGGAGTTTCGAACGATATGGCAATTACTGTACTCGATACCAATACTGTCGTGTGTTTCGCTTCTGGAAGTCCACTTCAATCTAGATTATCTACAAATGCTTACGTAACTCCGGATAATCCTCTCTGCTATTGTTTAGCAAAAGAGCCATGTCAAGCACATGATGCCATCTGCTCGCCTGTAGCTTCCAAACGATACGCAAGATTTTATGCCAATACGAATGCGACGTGGTTCGAGAGAATAATCACAGCATGTTAACCCTGCGATGGACTGCTTGGGTTCACATTAGAATGTTTGTACGACTCGTCATGTCTCCAGCTTTTCGTTTCTAATGTTTCAATCTTTACAACATTGAATACAACTTGAGGGTGTTAGAGTAAGGGTGAAGATGGAAAGATGAAGAAGATATTATTTTCACCCTCACCCACACCACCATCAAGATGGTTGTTCTTTACGAAAAAAATATGGTTATTATTCTGCTTGGTTTCCTTGGTGCCCATCTCGCGTTCGCTAACAAAAAGAGAATAGAAAAGAGCTGTTTTTGTATAGTGACACTCGTACTTTTCAAACTTGTTGCAAGAGTAAATCGGCCGACGCAAAGAGGAGGTAAATAACATTGCACTGAGAATTTGTAAAACTTTCCTCGTGGCTTTTATCTCATTCCATATTGTGAAGTTTCTTTATAGAAACAAAATGTTATCGTACCAATGGGACAATCAAAAACTTGTAAATGAAGCATATCATCGGCTGAGTGAAAAAAATATTCCCCTATGGATGGATATTCATCGAGGAATGAAAGGACATTTGAGCGAGAGGTAAACTTTTACAAAAAGTAATGTGACTGATTTCTGTTTCTTATATTGAAGCATGGCAGCAGGAATAGAAAAAGCAGCAACTATATGTTGTTTTTTAACACCAAAATACCAAGATAGTGTTGCATGTAAAGATGAATTAACTTATGGAAAAGATCTAAGGTGTTTGTATCATTCCAATCCGGTTAGTGCCGAACTGGAAACCAACTGGTTGGTTGGGATTTACTATAACAGGACATAAATGGATCGATTTTCGTGATATTGACACAAATATGGATTTAAGAATCGAACAATTGATTAGTGAAATTCACATGTTAGCCGAAAATAAACTAGATTATTTTAAAGATATGAAACCTTTGAGTTTCACTCAAAACAACGAAGAACAAGATTTTGATTCAGGCTATTATTATCGTTTCACAACACAATGGCAAGGTGATGATGAATCTGTTGCTGCTGTCAATGATGGAAGACCTGAGAATCAGATCATGCTTGCTGAAACTAACAACTCTCCTACACAGTTATGGAAAATAACAAAAACTACTTAGTTCACAGATTATTCAATTGACTTATGAACGAAAAATGTCATGTGAATATAAAAATAGATAATATTTTGAATAGAACTTTGAATCTATAAATTTATTTCGTCCTTTCGCTTTGGAACAAGTGGTTGAGCACAACCATTCGGATCCTTATCTTCACTCTGACTCCCAAGAAAAGTGTTGTCACATATTTTCTTTTGTTGAAACAATGATAAGTACTATTTCTCGTGCTGAGAAAAACAGCGCAAGTTCTTACCGTACAATTATGAAAGATCAACACAATTTATTCGATCGATTACCGACTGAAATATTTCACTTGATATTTGATTACTTGTGGGCACATGAAATTTTCTTTTCATTCGCAAATCTTAGCGATCGAACTACTTCAATTCTGCTTTCTTATTCTAAATATCAGATCAACTTTCAATCCATTCAAAAATCCGACTTTGATCGTCTTTGTCGATCAATTCAATCTGAACAAGTCATTTCATTGATCCTTTCCGATCAAAATGATAGTCCGTACCAGTCCGAACAATTTCTCTCGTACTTTCAAATCGGTCGACTCACAAATCTTCGATCACTCTCATTGATAAAGATTGGATATACATCACTATATCAAATACTACCTAGTTTATCTAAACTGAAACGATTACGTTCGCTTTCATTTGGCAATTCCAGCACAGAGAAAATGAATATTTTATATGAAGATACAGAAGAAATACAATACAAGAACCTTTATCCACTTTTACACAAACTTTGTGCTGAAATATTCCTTCAACTGACATATCTATGCACAATTTATTCACAAGAATTAGCATCGATGCATTTTCCAAATTTACTTCATTTAAAATTGAATTTTGGTTCATTAACATCGAATCTGGACGGAATTTTTCAGCGTGCTCCTCAGCTTAAGTCCTTTACCTTCCATCTCGGAACTCTGCACAATTTTGTCAGAAATCAGCCATGTTATTCCCTGAGACAACTCAGTGTGATAAGTGCTAGTAAGAATGCGTTTCATCGATATTCACTTATCTCTAACAGATCGACTATATAAACGATTTTTGTAGATGTTCTTATGTCAATGGACGAAATAGAACAGTTTTTACGAAGTTTTCCGAATTTAATTCACTTCACAATCAAAGTTTCGTCTCAACACGTTGATATAGATATGATCGATGGACATCGTTGGCAATCGATTACTCAATCATTATCCACGTTCAATTTTAAACTTCGCCCAAAAAATAAAGTCAATCAAATGCATCTGGATTCATTCCGAACACCTTTTTGGACTGAGGAAAAACGTTGGTTCGTCGCTTATCATGATGAATTCATATTCACAATTACCGACTCGAATCTATCGTTTATGAAAATATCCTCCGATTCATTCATCTATTCAACGATACCAAATAGTACAATTCTCTATCAACCTCAAAAATCGATCGTTCGTGGAAGAGCATCTCTCGCCAATGACTTTCGATTTGCTACAGTGAAAAGTCTTGAATTGTATTGGGACGATAGTTGGGAGAGTTTAGCATCGTTCAATAACTTTAATCACGTGGAACATTTATGGATCTCTTCCACTTCTTGTCATTTATTGAAACATATACAACATCATATGCCGAAATTGCATACGCTAAGTTTTTTAGATGACTCGAATGAGTCTGCGATAACAGCAATTTTGTATATACGTGGTTTAGAGTTGAAACAAATTCGCACATTGCAATTTCATAGATGTCGCTTTCCGAAAGAAAATGTCGATGTTGTTGGAAAACTAAGCGATTTATTTCCTTGTGCCGAACACATCAAGAAATGGATTATCAAATCAAGATCGGATATCATTGATATTATCGGAAAGTTCAAAGAACTAAGAAGCATTTCATTCACTATTCAGAAGTCAGTTAAAAAACCGACGATAGCTTCAGAATTTCGCTCTGATTCCATTGTTCACGATATCAGGAGACATCTTCGTTGTGTTGTAATATGTCGAGTTGAACCATCATCGGAAAACTTTGGACTACCTGAATGTATTCATCTGTGGCCTCAAGAACGAGTGAGTGCAGAAATCGTATTGAATATGATTACAATACTTGTGAGTTTTTACTCATTTCAGGCACCGAATCATCACCATGGCAACTACGGCGCTAAAAACTTATTTCGAAAACCTTTTTAAGCCATTCGCAGGTCTTTTCAAAACACAGTTAACTTTCATTTAACCGAGACGATCGTTAGATTCTGAACTACATAAATATATTAAATTCATTTGACGAAATTTTTCCTCAGCCAGTTAAATGAGTAAAAAGGATGATATTATTCCTGAGTTTCATGGCGAACTGTGTGTTTATCACCAAACGATCGCATTATTCGTGAATTTTCATTCTTTTCTGTCATCGGATGATCATCGTCAACCATTGTTTTCTAAAACTTATCCTGAAATTACATGGTCACCAGTATCATATTTCAGGAGCTTTCCACACTCTCACTTTACCAGTAGTTGTGCTTGAACGTTGTTTTTATTGAACAAAAAAGCGACATTTATATACGAAAAATTCCAGATGATTGTATATCACGTACAGATCTGTATTTTGATTGAAGATGAGCACATTGTTAACAGACGTTACGAGAAAGCATGTTGGATTGGATAATCTTCTATCAACGTCAGCAACAACAACGCCATTGTTTGGGCTGTCAGATGAAAATCTTAATACTACTCGCGCAAGACCATCTAACACGGTTAATATCTCGCCATTGGATAGTAGTAAGAAGTATTGACGGTTCTTATGTTTCCGTTAATATGGTTGAGTATTCCATTGCAATGGGAATTTGATTCTCTGTACTGTTCATTGGACGCATCCAAATACTATTATAATTACGCTAATCGGCGAAGTATAAATTCGATTGACTATCGAGTGCAAGAACAACTGATTGAAGAGGATTTCCATGTGTCATCACAACATCACCCGTTATTCCTTTCTGACTTCATGCTAAACGATTCTCGCAAGAATTCAACTGTACCAAACTGCAAAACAGTACGGGTTCGATCAATGAATAGAAGCAAAATTAAGTTTGATTATGATTGAAACTTGACGCTTATTTGTGTAATTCTATATAGAAAAATGTATTTTCACGCTACAAAATGAGACAAATGCTCGTAGTTTTATATACTCAATATCTCAATTGCCATTGAGAATCGATACTTGAATGGACAAAACAAAATCTGCGTCATACACACACGCTACTTCTATACAATGATTCATGAATGTTGATCGGAGGATTAGTATTGTGTACATATATTAACGTTTCATAATTTGTTATAACAGACAGACAGAAAAAGAAAGGCAACGTCCGATTGTTCTCTTTGGTAGGCCCACGAGAAATACAGCCCATAAGAAGGAAAAGGGAGGAGCGAAGGGATTCCGCCATCACCCTCATCCTCAAGATGAAAATACTTTCTTAACTTCATTTCGAAATGTTTTCGACGCTATCATATTCGTATAAAAACTTGTAGAAACTGGAATACTCGCAGCGAATTGAGCAAGATTTCTAACAATGCTTTCAATTTGTATTTGCACTGGACTTTTCACATCGTATTGTGTTATTTGTTGATAGAGAAGAAAAATCGCAAAGGTTGAACAGAATAAACCATAGATCAGGATGTCCATCAGTAGCATAAATGCAAGTTGTCTGTCTCTTGCTACAGTAGAATGTGTGCTATGTCCTCCAGCAGCTGACCTTGAAAGTGCACCAGTAGCATCTTCAATACGCTGTGCACTACGTTGAATATTCTTTACCGATCGCAATCCACACATTATAAGTAATGCAAGTGTCAGAATTTCTTTGATAAGCACATAGTAACTAAGAAAAACTCGATAAATGCCTTGTTCCGAATAGCATTGAAAAACGTTAGGAATAATTTGTATGATATTTGTTAAAAACAACACGTGAGAATGACACAACGCCCAAAATATGCTTCCTCCGATTACACACACATAAGCCATACGAAGAGTACTTTTCTGTCGTGTACGAGCATTTGATGAAGTGATTAAGACTCGATCAATAGAAGCCATTACTAAATAAAATGAGCACAAACAATTGAGCAGAACTGTGGTATAAAACCGTAAACGACAAAGAACCAGATATTGAATACTCGCATCAATACTATAGCCGACGTTCAATGTTACGTAAAATGGCGCAGCATAAATGTATATAAAGTTACCAATATTGTATGCAATAAAATACACTGAACATGTGTTTTTTCTCAGGAGTTTTTGAGTAAACACCGTTAGGTTTATGATGCAACCTACAGTGCCTAAAAAGATTACAACCGGAGAAACGAATCGAAATAAATAATATTGTGTTGAGCTTAATGCAGCGAGTGCGTTGGTCATTGAAGACATGGATAATCTTACCACTGAATAGATGAACGAACAAATGACTTTGACCGTATCTTCTGATAATAAAATGTCGCAGTCATTATTCTGTTTTGTCAAAGATCGTTGATTCAATTTTAACACTTGCTGGAAGAACTGGTTTTGTCACATGAAAAAATTAATAAATAAAGAAGCACTACGTACAGTTTTTCTTCTTCTTTGTGTCATCGGAAGAAATAATTTCTGCTAGTGACAACAGTAATCGAAAATGTCTTAGACACTTTTCAAAAATGACCTGACAAATATGCGTCCACAGCTTAATCTGCTGCCTTCATATGCACGTTCAGTTTACTGTCTAGTTTAAACATCGTAGAATGAGAAGAGAGATTTTCCATTTGTTGATTTCTTACTTAGGCGAAATGACGAAATACTGTCGGTATAAATAAACACCTGAGCGAATTATTATATTTTTAATATTCTGAGTAAAAGCAAAGGATATCAGGCAAAATTAAAATAGTCAATAGACAATCTTTCGGGCCATCTGCGTTGGACTGGATAAAGGTTTCTCTATGTTACGTACCTGTGCTAACATAGATAACAGTAGCCTAGCAAGTAATCAGATTAATTTTATTGCAGCAATTGATCGATAAGCTAAACGACGTATGCTTCATTCTTGTAATGATGTATTCGATGATATGACCGTATAATGTCGATCAATCGAAGTCACTGTGAGATAATATCTATCGATATCGTGTAAGACAAAAATTAAACTAACGGGTGGAGCAGAATAAATAGACCTTCCTGTTTTTTTTTCGCTAGTTTTAGACATGGAAAAAAGAGTTTTTTTATCAAAAGATTTCTTGTCAAATTTATTACAAAATCGTAATGAAATATATTTCTATGACAAGCGCCCAGGTCGATCGTTCCAACCACCGGAACCAGAATGGAACCGAGACGGAAAACATCGGAAACCCATACAAACCAGCCGGTTCCATGTCGGAAAGCAACTGGAAAGCAACGGAACTTTACCGGTTCTTTGGCGCCGTATTCCGGCCGGACTTCATGCGGAACTTTCCGATCTGTTCCAATCATTCCCGCCAGTCAGAGTCGCTATCATTATGTCGTATTCCTACCAGCGGATCCTCATGCAATCATAAATGACTACTTGCTACCCGTTCCAGCCGTAGCCTTTGGCCGGATTCACACTGTTCCTTAGCATTTCCAGAAGGCGGGTCCTGACAAGACAGTTCACGAAGCTTTTCCTATACCTTCCAACGAACATCTTCAGCGGGAAACGTGCAAACTCACCAACATCCTGTCGGTGAAATTAGTACGAACCTCATACAGCCGGCTCCCACAACATCAGGCGACATCCGCATACCGTATCCCACTTTCCATCCCAACTTCCGACAACAGGAACCTCAAAAACACACCGACCATCGCTTCCGCCACAATCCGGCCTATTCCGACATCTGTCACATCGGATCCATCCTTCTCCTTCACATTCCGGCTACTTCACTGCCGCATCCACCATTTTCCATAATGTTCCAGCAACAAAAACCCCACATTCACACTTAAACTCCATTTCTGGGACACCCAAGTTGATTTCCGATCCAGCGATATCCTTCTCTCTACACCCGCACCTCAATAAAGCACCGCCACATATTTCCATATCAATAACCATATAATTACCTACCAATTTCCGAATGCTTTCCAACGCACAGAAGACAACTCCACCAGCTAAGCACGTACAAACCTCTAAACTACTTCAAACTAGTTCGGACACCAAATGACATGTCTCCATCATGCATAAAGATATAAGTCTCTGAAGTACTTCGAAGTACTTCACACTCAAAATGAGATATGTCCACTCTGAATAAATGTATAAGTCTCCGAAGTACTTCAAAGTACTTCACACTCAAAATGAGATATGTCCACCCTGAATAAATGTATAAGTCTCTGAAGTACTTCAAAGTACTTCACACTCAAAATGAGATATGTCCACCCTGAATAAAGATATAAGTCTCCGAAGTACTTCAAAGTACTTCACACTCAAAATGAGATATGTCCACCCTGAATAAATGTATAAGTCTCCGAAGTACTTCAAAGNCAGTACTGTTAACAGTGTCTCATTTTTGAAAATGCTGTAGAAAGCTACATCAAATTTCATCGACAGATTTCAAATTTCATTCAAAAATGCATTTTTGAATGAAATTTGAAATCTGTCGATGAAATTTGATGTAGCTTTCTACAGCATTTTCAAAAATGAGACACTGTTAACAGTACTGAAGATTTTCTGGGGGGGCTCAGGAAAATGCTAATTTTTTTGGCAAACTTCGATTGCAAAAATTACTCGATAGAAACTCATAGTTTGCCACCAATATTATCATCCATGAGTTTTAAGTGGGACCCATGCTCTGAAACGAAGATCCAGCACACCATAAAATCCTGGCTCCGCCACTAGTCGATATGTGAGAACGCAAAAGAGAATATATATAGAAGGTATTACGCAAAATGACGCAATTCTTTTGTTAGAGTAAGAGAAAGATACAGTAGTTCTTTTGATAAAGTCCAAACGACGTTATATCGAAGACAATACTTACAAAAGTTCAATGCCTATATATAGGTCACCCGTAACCAAAGGGTTAAAATTTCCCATCTTGTTTACGCGTATACGAACTGCGTCTTCTTAGAAAAAAATCGAAAAGTAACTTCAAATCGCATTATCGTATTGTACTGATGAGTACAATTGGGTCAAGCTAAACAAAGGGTTTGTATCTATCTGAAGGGTAATCGAACAATTCGTTATATACCTGAGAACGATGAAATTGAAATTACAGATAACGAAGTAAATCGTTATGGAAATTGTAGATCTAATTTGTCCAATACGTTCAAGTCTATTTATTTTCATATATAGTGCGCATGCAAATCGGACAATCCTGAAGAATGGAGAATGAGAACGTGCAGTTGTCCATCATTTCTTAGGAATTATGTTTGCAAGTATGTCACCGGGATGTGTATACGATTAAAATATTGCAAACGTCCGTCAGAAACAAAAAATGTGGAAGTAGGCCAGATCATCGAAAACAAGGAAAGCTGTATTCTATTCCTACAATAATAAATAAATTGTTCATTTTCATTTTTCTTATGGCTCATAGTACAAGTGAAAACAGGAAAATTTTCTTTTTCATATTGTTAAAATGTAAACTTAATATTGTTACTTGATGAATTATTTATTAATCGTTTCATAGTTAAAAAATACCCAAAAATGATTTTTTTCTATTGCTCAAATAAATGCACGCCATATAAAAACCATAGAGTAGAACGAAAATGTACATGTAAGTGTTACAAGTTAGTTGTGCAATTTATGAATATAAGAATGATAGAATTTTCGACTCGACCGACATTCATTTACTTTTGATCCAAAAAGATTTCATCCAGCAAATTGAATGTAGGTTAATATTTGATTCATTTTTCTTTTTAATGTTAATAGAAAAATAATTCGGTTTGATGAAAATCAGGTATAATCATGAAATGCCAGTGAGTTGACATTAAATAAACAAAGATTTTTACACGACAGAAACATAGTTTGAGATTTTTATTCATTTTGTTCTTTACAAAAAAAATATGGTTATTATTCTGCTTGTTTTTCTCTGGTTTCCTTGGTGTCCATCTCGTGTTCGCTACCAGAAAGAGAATAAAAAAGAACTGTTTTTGTAGCGACACTCATACTTTTCAAACTTGTTGCAAGAGTAAATCGACCCACGTAAAGAGGAGGTAAATAACATTGCAATGAGAATTTGTAAAACTTTCCTCGTGGCTTTTATCTCATCCTATATTGAAGTTTCTTTATAGAAACAAAATGTTACCTAAAAGTCATGTAATGTTATCCTACCAATGGGACAATCAAAAACTTGTAAATGAAGTATATCATCGGCTGAGTGAAAAGAATATTCCCCTATGGATGGATATTCATGGAGGAATGAAAGGACATTTGAGCGAGAGGTAAACTTTTACAAAAAGCAATGTGATTGATTTTTGTTTCTTATATTGAAGCATGGCAGCAGGAGTAGAAAAAGCAGTAGCTATATGTTGTTTTTTAACACCAAAATACCAAGATAGTGTTGCATGTAAAGATGAATTAACTTATGGGAAAGAACAAGGTGTTTGCATCATTCCAATCCGATTAGTGCCAAATTGGAAACCAACTGGTTGGTTGGGATTTACTATAACAGGACATAAATGGATTGATTTTCGTGATATTGACACAAATATGGATTTAAGAATCGAACAATTGATTAGTGAAATTCACATGTTAGTCGGAAATAAATTGGATTGTTTTAAAGATATGAAACCTTTGAGTTTCGCTCAAAACAACGAAGATGAACATGATGAAGAACAAGATTTTGATTCAGGCTATTATTATCGTTTCACGACGCAATGGAAAGGCATTAATAAATCTCTTGATGTTGTCAATGATGAAAAAAGTAATAAGGAACTTAAACTTGCTACAAGTGGCAATTACAGTGGTCAATATTGGAAAATAACTCCAGTTGATAATGGATATTATCGTTTAACTACGCAATGGCAAGGTGATGGTAAATCGCTTGATGTTGTTAATGATGGAAAAAATTATGATAATCTTATACTTGATAAAAGTGGTAATTGTAGTGGACAATCTTGGAAAATTACTTTTGTTGGAAATGGATTTTATCGTTTGACAACACTGTGGCTCGGAAATGATAAATCTCTTGCTGTTGTCGATGATGGAAGACCTGAGAATCAGATCATGCTTGCTAAAACTAACAACTCTCCTACACAGTTATGGAAAATAACAAAAATTACTTAGTTCACAGATTATTCAATTGACTTATGAACAAAAAATGTCATACGAATATAAAAATAAATAATATTTTGAATAAAACTTTGAATCTATAAAGTTATTTCGTGCTTTCACGTTCTTCTTTTGTTGAAACAATGATAAGTACTATTTCTCGTGCTGAGAAAAGCAGCGCAAGTTCTTACCATACAATTATGAAAGATCAACACAGTTTATTGGATCGATTACCGACTGAAATATTTCACTTGATATTTGATTACTTATGGGCACATGAAATTTTCTTTTCATTCGCAAACCTTAACGATCGAACTACTTCAGTTCTGCTTTCTTATTCTAAATATCGGATCAACTTTCAATCCATTCAAAAATTCGACTTTGATCGTCTTCGTCGATCGATTCAATTTGAACAAGTCATTTCATTGATCCTTTCCGATCAAAATGAGAGTCCGTATCAGTTCGAACAGTTTCTCTCGTACTTTCAAATCGGTCGACTCACAAGTCTTCGATCACTCTCATTGATAAATATTAAATATGCATCACTATATCAAATATTATCTAGTTTATCTAAATTAAAACGATTACATTCGCTTTCATTTGGGAGTTCCAGCACAGAGAAAATGCATATTGTATATGCAGATACAGAAAATATCCAATATAAGAACCTTTATCCATTTTTACACCAACTTTGTGCTGAAATATTCCTTCAACTAACATATTTATGCACAATTTATTCAGAAGAACTAGCATCGATGCATTTTCCAAATTTACTTCATTTAAAATCGAATTTTGGTTCATTAACATCGAATATGAACGGAGTTTTTCAGCATGCTCCTCAGCTTAAGTCCTTTACCTTCCATCTCGGAACTCTGCACAATTTTGTAAGAAATCAGCCATGTTATTCCCTGAGACAACTTAGTGTGATAAGTTCTAGTAAGAATGCGTTTCATCGATATTCACTTATCTCTGACAGATCGACTATAAACGATTCTTGTAGATGTTCTTATGTCAATGGACGAAATAGAACAGTTTTTACGAAGTTTCCCGAATTTAATTCACTTCACAATCAAAGTTTGCTTTCAACACGTTGATATAGATATGATCGATGGATATCGTTGGCAATCGATTACTCAATCATTGTCCACGTTCAATTTTAAACTTCGCCCAAAAAATAAAGTGAATGAAATGCATCTAGATTCTTTCCGAACACCTTTTTGGACTGAGGAAAAACGTTGGTTCGTTGCTTATCATGATGAATTTATATTCACAATTTCCGGCTTGAATCTGTCGTTTATGAAAATATCCTCCGATTCATTTGTCTATTCAACGATACTAAATAGCACAATTCTCTATCAACCTCAAAGATCGATGGTTCGTGGAAGAGTATCTCTCAGCAATAACTTTCGATTTGCTTCAGTCAAAACTCTTGAATTGTATTGGGACGATAGTTGGGAGAGCTTAGCGTCGTTCATAAACTTTAATCACGTGGAATATTTATGGATCTCTTCCAGTTCTTGTCATTTATTGAAACATATGCAACATCATATGCCAAAATTGCATACGCTAAGTTTTAAAGATGACTCAAATGAGTCTGCGATAACAGCAATTTTGTATATACGTGGTTTAGAGTTGAAACAAATTCGTACATTGCAATTTCACAGCTGTCGCTTTCCGAAAGAAAATGTCGATGTTGTTGAAAAACTAAGCGATTTATTTCCTTGTGTGGAACACATCAAGAAGTGGGTTATAAAATCAAGATCGGATATCATTGATATTACCGGGAAGTTCAAAGGACTGAGGAACATTTCATTCACCATTCATAAATCAGTTAAAAAACCGACGATAGCTTCAGAATTTCGCTCTGATTCCATTGTTAACGATATCAGAAGACAACTTCGTTGTGTTGCAATATGTCGAGTTGAATCATCACCAGAAAACTTTGGACTACCTGAATGTATTCATCTGTGGCTTCAAGAACGAGTGAGTACAGAAATCGTATTGAATATGATTACGATACTAGTGAGTTTTTACTCATTTCAGGCACCGAATCATCACCATGACAACCACGGCGCTAAAAACTTATTTCGGAAACCTTTTTAAGCAATTTACAGGTCCTTTCAAAATATAATTAACTTTCATTTAACCGAGACGATCATTAGATTCTGAACTGCATGAATATATTATATTCATTGGACGAAAATTTTCCTCAGTCACATCGTCCCTCTACTCGGCCATCTACGTAAATTAGTAGGAAGGATGATATAATTCCTGAGTTTCATTCTTTTCTGCCATCGAATGATCATCGTCAATCATTGTTTTCTAAAACTTATTCTGAAATTACATGATCGCTTGTATCATATTTCAGGAGCTTTTAACACTCTCACTATATTAGTAATTGTGCTTGAACGTTGTTTTTATTGAACAAAAAGCGACATTTATATACGAAAGTTTCGAGATGATTAAGTATTTTAGGGACACCTACAGGATTGTATATCACGTACAGAACTGTATTTTGATCGAAGATGAACGCACCGTTAACAGACGTCGCGGGAAAGCTCATTGCAATGTCACTTGAACTTGTATTATGGCCATGATTAGTCTGGAGATACCGTCGCATAAGCTGACGTTGTGTACTATCTAAGACATACAGCTGGGTTGAAGTAGAAAACAGTATGCCGTTCAAAGCAGCGCTCTCGTTGAGATTTCTATTACCGGCTACAACGCCGGCATTTGATCCATTATTTACGTATTTTATTATCTGTGTATATGAATTACAAATGTACATTGTATTTCGATTAATTTCATCAACATATACGCATGTTGGATTCGATAATCTTCTATCAGCGTCAGCAACTACAACGTCATTGTTTGGGCTGTCAGATGAAAACCTTATTACTACTCGCGCACGACCATCTGCCACATACAATATTAGATTTGTATCAACGAACAAAGAAATTTTTGACAACAATAACGGATAATATCTCGCCATTGGATTGTAGTAAGAAGTATTTACGCTGCTTATGTTTCCGTTAATATGGTTGAGTATTCGATTGCAATGGGAATTGATTCTCTGTACTGTTCATTGACCGCATCTAAATACTATTATGACGCTAATCGGCGAAGTATAAATTCGATTGACTGTCGAGTACAAGAGCAACTGATTGAAGAGGATTTCCACGTGTCATTACAACATCATCTGTTATCAGAGTTATTCCTTTCTGACTGCATGCTAAACGCTTCTCACAAGAAACCGATTTTACCAAACTGCAAAACCGTACGAGTTCGATATGATTGAAACTTGACGGTTATTTGTATAATTCAATATAGAAAAATATCTTTTCACGCTATAAATGAGACAAATGCTCGTAGTTTTACATACTCAATATCTCAATTGCCATGGAGAATCGATACGTGAATAAACAAAACAAAATCTGCGTCATACACTCACTACTTCTATACAATGACTCATGAATGTTGATGGGAGAATGAGTATTGTGTACATATATTTACGTTTCATAATTTGACATAATAGACAGACAGAAAAAGAAAGGCAACATACAATCGTTCCCTTTGGTAGGTCCACGAGAAATACAGTCCATAAGAAGGAAAAGGGATGAGCGAAGGGATACCGCCATCACCCTCATCCTCAAGATACAATTCAATGTTTTTGAATGCACAAAATCCGCGTCCATGAAAATGCTTTCTTAACTTCATTTCGAAATGTTTTCGACGCTATCATATTCGTGTAGAAACTTGTAGAAACTGGAATACTGGCAGCGAATTGAGCAAGATTTCTAACAATGCTTTCAATTTGTATTTGCACCGGACTTTTCACATTGTATTGTGTTAGTTGTTGATAGAGAAGAAAAATCGCAAAGGTTGAACAGAATAGACCATAGATCAGGATGTCCATCAGTAACATAAACGCAAGTTGTCTGTCTCTTGCTACAGTAGAATGTGTGCTATTTCCTCCAGCAGCTGTCCTTGAAAGTGCACCGGTAGCATCTTCAATACGACGTACACTACGTCGAATATTCTTTACCGATCGCAATCCACACATTATAAGTAATACAAGTGCCAGAATTTCTTTGATAAGCACATAATAGCTAAGAAAAACTCGATAAATACCTTGTTCTGAATAGCATTGAAAAACGTTAGGAATAATTTGTATGATATTTGTTAAAAACAACACGTGAGAATGAAACAATGCCCAAAATATGCTTCCTCCGATTACACACACATAAGCCATACGAAGAGTACTTTTCTGTCGTGTACGAGCATTTGATGAAGTGATTAAGACTCGATCAATAGAAGCCATTACTAAATAAAATGAGCACAAACAATTGAGCAGAACTGTGGTATAAAACCGTAGACGACAAAGAACCAGATATTGAATACTCGCATCAATACTATAGCCGACGTTCAATGTTACGTAAAATGGCGCAGCATAAATGTATATAAAGTTACCAATATTGTATGCGATAAAATACACTGAACATGTGTTTTTTCTCAAGATCTTTTGAGTGAACACCGTTAGGTTTATGATGCAACCTACAGTGCCTAAAAAGATCACAACTGGAGAAACGAATCGGAATAAATAATATTGTGTTGAGCTTAATGCAGCGAGTGCGTTGATCATTGAAGACATAGATAATCTTACCACTGAATAAATGAACAAACAAATGACTTTGACCGTATCTTCTGATAATAAAATGTCGCAGCCATTATTCTGTTTTGTAAAGGATTGTCGATTCAATTTTAACATTTGCTGGAAGAACTGGTTTTGTCATATGAAAAAAGTTATCAAGATGAAAAAATTAACAAATAAAGAAGTACTACGTACACTTTTTCTTTTTCTTTATGTCATCGGAAGAAATAACTTCTGCTAGTGACAAAAGTAATCGAAAATGTCGTTGACATTGAGAAACGCAATTGTGTTCTCGATACTTTTCAAGAAATGACCTGACATATATGCGTTCACAGCCTCATCTGCTGCCTTCATATGCACCTTCAATTTACTTTCTAGTTTAAACAACATAGAACGACGAAAAAAGAGATTTTCCATTTGTTGATTTCTTACTTAGGTGAAATTTTACTCACAATAACCGTTTGAAAAAGATTTCCATCGCTTTTTGGCGAGATAATATTGGTATAAATAGACACCTAAGCTAATTACTATATCGTTGATATTCTGAGTAAAAGCCAAGATACCAGGCAAAATTAAAATAGTCAATTGACAATCTTTCGAACCATTAGTATTTGACTGGATTTGAGTGACATTCATTGGTTGATTTCGGGCTGGATAAAGGTTTCTCTATGTTAGATGTGCAAACATAGATAACAGTAGCCTATAGGAAGTAATTAGATTGTTTAAAATAATTGGATAGCTAAATAATTTTATTGCAGCAATCGATCGATAAGATAAACGACGTATGCTTCATTCTTGTAATGATGTATTCGATGATATGACCATAGATCGATCAATCAAAGTCACTGTGAGATAATATCGATATCGTGTAAGACAAAAATTAAACTAACGGATAGGGACCACCCTATGTTTTGCATGTTTCATCGCTATTTTTAGATATGAAAAACAAAGAGTTTCTTTATCAAAAGATTTCTTGTCGAATTCTTTGCAAACTCGTAATGAAGTATATTTCTATGACAAGCGAAGGAAGAAAACTAGACGAAGATTATTTGTACACACATGAAACGCTTAGGATTCGCATCGCCTATTTTAAAATCAAGGCATACTAGGAAAAATATTTTTTTCCCATAAATATTAGACGCTTTCCAGCTATTTTGATCAAGCACGAATTTCTTCCATTTTTCATTGTCTTATCGTTTAATATAGTTGATTAAGAGAATGCAAAATGTGCCTCCAGATGAAGTATGAAAAGCTCTACAATTGGTAACGAACAGTCTATGTATCATTCGTTCTTTAAACAAGCAGAATTCAATGCAAAGAAAAAATGAATTGATTCATAGAATCAGAAATCAGTTATATGCAATTCTGTTCATTTTTAATAGCAAAATATATATTTATATAATCAGATTTTGCTTGTAGCTTATAGAGCTTTTCACGCTGTACCTTAGCATACGCTTTAGTTCTAAGACAAATGGTGTTAGCAATGATAGAAAACATAGAGACATTATCTATCGGTAAGACACATGCTAGCTTCAAAAGTTGGGTACTTCATATATGTACAATATTCTTCGTCTAGTTTTCTTTCTTCGCTTGTTATAGAAATATGTTCCGTTACGATTTTGTAAGGGATTTGACAAGAAATCTTTTGATAGAAAAAAACAAACTTTTTTTCATGTCTAAAAATAGCGAAGAAATATGCAAAGTAGAGGAAGGTCCATTTATTCTGGTCCATTCGTTAATTTTGGTTATTGGAATGTTTTCGGCAAAGCTTATTATGCCAAGAAAACACTATTGCTATCAAGTATGACTAGAGTGGCATCAACTATAGAGTATAATAAATGTTCAAATTAGATACAATGAGACCAGCACCAGTTGACATATGTCCATTTGACGCCCATCAATATCTTCAGAACAATGCTTTGCAATGAAGTATAAACACAATTCTCTATATGAATATCAATGAATTATTTGTTGAAGACATCTCGATAGAAATTCCATATTTGATTGAAGAAACGCTTTCAAATATTACATTTATTGTAACATTCCTCACAAACCATTCATATGACGAATTTCCATTTGATGAACTTGGTTGGAATGAGAACAATAATCGAATTTTAATTGTCAAAGTCATCCAAACCTCATTTTTTATTGCTGTCCATAAATGAATATGTAAAAACAAAATATCTCATACAAAATATAATACTTTGAAATTAAGCGTTACGAATAACTCATTTCAGTCGTAGCCATTTCTACATCTTCAACAACTGTTGACCATTCACAATACGATTTTTTATTAAGATCCAGTTGATCAGTTTTTGCAGGAGTAGTCTTATTGATAACTATTTTGGACAAGAAGAAGTCTTTGCTAATGACACCACATTTCTTTGTCGATATAAGTTCGATTATTGATTGCATCAACGGGAAAAGAAGCAATTTAAAAATAAGAAAGAATAAACCAAACAATTCCAAAACAACGATCGTAAACAAAAGATTATGAAAAATGATCTCAGTACGTCGTGCAATTGGCTCTTGTACATTACTGACATAAAAGATAGACTTTTCGATAGTAATACTGATGTTCGTATACATTCGTTGAAACAAAGTATATCGAGTTTCTTCCGAGAACAATTCATCCGTGTTGACATTGAATGAAGGAGACCACATGGCACTGTAAGTCGAATAACCATCGGTACTCAACGGAGCGGTTCGATTTACATTTTGAGTTAATTGTAGAGAAAAAAGAGTAGCTGAAGCAAGAACTTGATTAACCGAAAGAGGAACAAAAGTTGATGAGAAATTGAGTGACACGAGCTTGTACCTTTTATCCGTGCAAAAAAGAGAACAACTGAAGTCTTGTCGTTATTTCAACTGATAGCTCTTACCTGTTGTTGGCAGTGGTGGAACCTGATCCATACAATCCAATACGAATGGCACCGATAGTCTTTAGTCCTAATAAAGTCATTTGTAAACTGATTTCTTGAACTGGTAATCGGATAGCTAGCGAAAGAATGCTATCGTTAAATCTTGTTTCGCAACTTGAAATTGTTAAATTTGTTCCGGTGTACCCAATGAAACGTTGTACAAATAAAGTGTCATTACATATAAATGCCGTTTGTACTAGATCAATGTTGAGTGTAAATGATTGTAGATTGAGTAGATCGAAAATAGCTTGAATATCTTTTGTAGCACTGCGTGAGTTTGGTAGTTTTTGCAGAGTAGTACTAAATTTTGCATTACGCAATGAGACATCGCATGCAAATGAACTATCGCTTGTAGACTGTTCAAGTGGGTATTCATAGGTATATTTACTCGAAAATACGTAAGCCGAAACGATGAGGACAACAATAGCTGCCGATACCAGGCCGCCAATCCATAACTAATTCAAATATATCAATAGAGCAAACATTTGACAGAGATCTATTTTACCTGTCCTTCACCAATAAGATCGACTTTTCTCAAGATCTGTTTTATCCAATCACGTATGTTATGTTTACCTGGGCCAAAATATTCATGAATTGTTGTTACAATAGCTATGATGACAGATAACATGATGACAACGAATACCCAAGTGATAGGTGATACAAGAAGACAATGGATCGATTGTACATTGAAACTGAACATATTCTGCATGAGTATATCATCAAATACGGTGTTTTCAGGTGATTCTGGATAATCTTGATCTTGTTCGTTTGATTCAAATGTCGAATATGCGATATCCTCAACGGCACCAAATGGACAAAATGAATCATTTGATCTGCATGGCAAACAATCGCTTGAATATGTTCCTTCTGGACACGGAAAACACAATTCAACTCCAGTATAGTTTCGATAGGTGCCACGAATACAAGGCACAATAATCGACGTATAAAAATCTGAGTTTGTACTCGGATAAGTACCTGCTGATGCAGCAAAGAGAATAGCTGCATTGCCCAATAAATCAAATACGGTCACATGTCCAGAAGTTGAGCAGATAAGGCGTAAGAATGATGGATTAATCCATGGAAACAATATCTGTTGGCTGTTCGGATAGATAAGAATGGGTCGTGCACCATTGGTGAATCCATCGGACTGTATATCATATATGTGAATAGACGAAGACATCCATTGATAAGATGAATAGGCATATTTGTTGGCCATAATCACTGCTTTCTCACCTTGATCATTCAACCATGCAACACTTTTTCCAAATCCCATCAGTCCTAATCCATTCTGACGGCTACCGGTCAAATTTTGAGGATTATCGAATGAATACAGTAATACTATATTTAGTGATGGAATACCTATTAGAACGCGACGAGTGCGCCATGTGATGGCTATCGATAAAACTGTTTGGGCAGAATACAGACGGCTCTGTGTGATATGATGATTAGTACGTGGATCAGAATAGGGAAATTGAGTGTAATTTTGAATAGCGAATTCATTTGTACGGACAGGATATGACAAAGACCTGTTTAACTGAACGATGAAAGCACATTCTAGCGCTAAGGACGATGTTATTTGACAATAACCAGCGATCACACCATAATCAACATTTGAACCGATATCGAGCGCTCGTGGAGACATATTCCATGCATTAGACCATATTGTTAGTGAATATGCTGGATTCAGTTCATAGTAAAACATGAAATCATCAGCAAATCCATATACACCTGTACCTTGTCCATCAATATTAATAATAAAATTGTCTTGTGTCGAGTAGTTTGACACTATCTGCTCATCTGCCAATGAAAATGAAAGTATACTACTACTAGCAAAATGACCAATCGCATTCCGGCCTTGATAATCGATACAGTTGTAAACGAATGAACTTATATTCAAAACAGGAACAACGACACTATAAACAAAATCACAGCTTGTTTCGTTGAAAGCGATGGCATTGTATATAGAATTATTCGGTACCACTGGAATGACATACCAAACCATATTCAGATTATCAACACTAACCATGATATAATCATTCATTGCTACTTTCATTCCATACAGATCATAATCATTGGACGTTTTAGTGTAGGAAAAGGTAAGACAGATTTGTAAAAGTAAACAAAATGTCGACATCACTAAAATATTGTAAACACATGTTATCATGACGACTATGAAATATGATCCCGAACTTACTTCGATATTTTTTGTTTAACATTGGTAATAAGATCAGCTTTTCGAAAGAAGACAATCTAATTAGCAGAGAATCTTACATTGTCTAGATAAGAACTTGAGACTTTAGTGAAAAAAATATATTCATACAAATAAAGCACGTGTATTTTTCTGTTTTTGAACTTTTCGTATTTGAACACAGTGTAGGATTTAGTTTCTTAAATCTCAATTTCAGGAAGAATTAGGAAAAAAAGATCTTTCGTCAAAAGTAGTATGAAAAAAGCAATTTGTCTCAATGTGGCGATCAACAAGCGTTGCTTTAGTAAAACACGAGTAGACGAAGAATTGAAGCAATTGTTAACAAGCAAGCAAGTTATATATCTAGTGCAAGAAGACGACAAATAGAAAAAAAAAACAGATGTTTAATTTCCTACTTGGCGAGCAAATAATTAGGAAATATTTTTAAAAAGTGCACAACGCTATTTAAGGAAAAGAAAAATATTTTCCTCATTTCTGTGTGTACACGAGAGAGAATAACACTTATTTTCATCAGTTTTTCTGTCAAACGCAGTTTGAATTCGATAATATTTGCGTCGAAAATCTCACGTGACGACTTCACCGAACGGTCACTTGTGCGGTTCTCTTGGTAAGATATATATATATATATCACACTTAGAAGGGAGTGGGCCACGATGATGCCACCAGACGCGGATCTGCACCGTTGCATTTAGTCCGACACCATGAGAATTTATAAGATAGTCGAAAGTCCGATATTGAAAATTGACAAAAAAATCATTAGAACATTATTTTTATGATTGATTTTAGTACGCTGATGTTGTTGTTTCAGTGTCTGTAATGACTTCATCGAGAACCTTCGATATATTGTATAACGGTAACGACAGTATCGTGAAATTCATGGTTGGTCAATCTTTACATGGGAAATTTGGCTGGAGGGCTAAAGCTAGAAAGAGATGGATCCGGTTGGACAAATGTAGTGTCCGGAACAGCTGAGTTCCATGTATTCACATGCATTTACACAAACTAACCGACGTCATTCGCGACTAAATTACAGAGCGATGTTTAACAATCTATGAAAGAACAAGATTTTTCAAAATTCTGATCTACGTCAATTGTTAAATGAACAATATCGATGGAAAATGAAGAAGTATTGATCACATCTTTGTTGACTTTATCTGCATTTCAGGTATCGATCTGTAAAAGAAATGCTTAAAAATAAAGTCTATCGTGGAAGTAGTTCAACCGAATAGACGATTGATAACGATAGAGCAGTATAAGAACATAAAACATGCCGATGAATAATTTTTAATTCAACGAGTTGCAATTTAGAATCTGTTGAGATATTCGGTACGAATGCTCTTTTCATTCTTCGATTGAAAAAGAATGACTTAAGTGAAAAGAAAGCCATTGGTATCAGTGTATCTTAGAATGTTTTAAATTGAGCAAGAGCTAGTTACTTTTAAAATCTGGTGTCGAAGTTATGGTTGAGACACTACTTGACAATAAAGAAGACGAAAACCACCATATTTGTCTTAATGTTTACGTTTAAATAATACTCTACTAAGTCTTGTTTTGAATTTTTAAATTATTGTTCAAATGAACATGAAGGATGAGTTTCTCTCCGAAATATAGGAAACAATGGTGATCGCCATGATTGGAACAGTGCGTTCAGTAGAACCGGTTCGATTGAGAACAAACGAATATATCTGACAATCATTGAATGATGAGGAGTAGAAGGCAGGGGATGTAATACCTATATACTTATTCTAATTTTTGTTGATCAGATGCAGATGGGTCACAAATAAAATAATACTCATAATCTCACGGACGACGCTTTTAAGCGCAACAACAGCACGTTTCTTTCGTTCTTCGTTTACCTGAATTGTGCTCATGATTGTATGTTAGAATACTGCGACCAGATCCTACTTATCTATCGAAATTTCGTTTATCGAGTTTGCGTTTTTGTCACAGACTCAATTTCAACTTTTCTGTGAGTGAGAATGGTTAGCAACGAAATCATTCATATTCAATCATCATACGCACATCCACAACCTCATTCTCACCCTCACCCACCCTTTTAACACAGAAAAAATGCAAGTAGTTTCCACTATGATGGAACTAACTACACAACAGACATGTGTCGTACTAGGTGAAATAATGAATGTATCACAAAAGAACACATGACTTCGAGTTTTTAGATGTTCCATGGCTGGCGGCAGAAGGCAACGATGCAGGAGACGTCGATGTTGTGTTACTCTTCGTTGAAAGCTGCGGCCGTGTGCCAGGTGTGCATTCTTCATCCAACCATATGCCTTCTTTTGTTTGTCCATCAGGAGATCGAAGTTTACCCCAGCCACAACGAATTCCGTCTTTAAATTGTCCCTCATAACGCTGACCAGATGCCCAAGTAAAAATACCTTCTCCTGAAAACACATCAGCTTCCCACTGGCCTTCATACTTATCTCCATTAGGATAAATTTGAGTACCTTGTCCGCAACTTTTGCCTTCTTTGAGCTGTCCCTTATATTGTCGCCCATCCTTCCAGGTGTACACACCGGAACCTGAGAATTGATCATCTATCCACTCGCCATCGTACTTATCACCACTGGCATATTGACACCGCCCGTGACCATGACGATTGTTCTCTTTAAATTGCCCGTCATATCTTTGACCGTCCGGCCATGTATAGATGCCTCGACCTGACATGTTATCATCTTCCCATTCTCCGACGTATATTCGCCCATCATCGAATACTTGAGTACCTTGACCATGGCTTTTGTCATCTTTGAACTGTCCTTCATAGCGTTGACCGGATGCCCATGTATAAACGCCTTGGCCATTCATACTATCGTCTACCCAATCTCCAACGTATTTAGCGCCATCCGCAGATATCTGTGTTCCTTTCCCATGTCTGTTGCCATTCCGAAATTGACCTTCATAACGAGCACCGTCTGTCCATGTACAAACGCCTGGACCTGACATGTTATCATCTTCCCATTCTCCAACATATATTCGTCCATCATCGAATACTTGAGTTCCTTTTCCATGGCTTTTGTTATCTTTGAACTGACCTTCATAGCGTTGACCGGAAGCCCATGTATAAACACCGTGCCCTGACATTTTGTCATCCTCCCATTCTCCGACGTATATTCGCCCATCATCGAATATTTGTGTACCTCGTCCGTGACTGTTTCCATCTTTGAACTGACCTTCGTAACGACTGCCGTCAGGCCACGTATATATGCCTTGCCCACACATGGTGTCATTTTCCCATTCACCAACGTATTTACAGCCATTTGCAAAAATGTGCGTACCTTTTCCATGTCTGTTACCATCCTGGAATTGACCTTCATATCGACCACCATCCGACCACGTACAAACACCGTGACCTGACATATTATCATCTTCCCATTCTCCAACATATATTCGTCCATCATCGAATACTTGAGTGCCTTGACCATGGCTTTTGTCATCTTTAAACTGTCCTTCATAGCGTTGGCCAGAGGCCCATGTATAAATGCCTTGGCCAGTCATACTATCGTCTACCCAATCTCCAACGTATTTAGCACCGTCCGCAGATATCTGTGTTCCTTTCCCATGCCTGTTGCCATCTTGAAATTGACCTTCATATGTAGCACCGTCTGAGAATGTGAATGTACCTTGACCACACACAGTATCATCCTTCCATTCACCAACGTATTTACATCCATTGGCAAATACATGTGTTCCTTGCCCATGCCGATTATCATCCTGAAATTGACCCTCATATCGGCCACCATCCGACCACGTACAAACACCGTAACCTGACATACTATCATCCACCCATTCTCCAACATATGTTCGTCCATCATCGAACATTTGAGTTCCTTGACTACTTCTCTTGTCATCTTTAAACTGTCCTTCATAGCGTTGACCGGAGGCCCATGTATAAATGCCATAGCCACATTTTGAGTCATGTTCCCAGTCTCCTACATATGTATCGCCGTCACTAAATTTATAAGTACCACGACCATGCATTTGCCCGTCTTTGAATTCACCTTCGTAATGACCGCCGTCCGATGATGTATAAGATCCATAGCCATCGGTCACTATAATCATAGCATACCTTTATATTAAATCTTCGGCAGTAGTTAGTATATTGACGTTAATGCTATAGTAATTGGATAAAGTCAGATGAGAAACAGATTTTCTTAAGACGACTCCTGCATCATTCTTTATGAATTTTTCGACTTAATTCGCGGTAAGAATTAAATGTAGAGTGAAGGTCAGATATAGATGTCATCAATAATATTAAGATTGTTATTTGACAATATTTTAACGAATGACACCTATTTTTGAATATATCACACCTGATCGACAAATTTTCGCGTAGAAGAAATACATTAATTGGACACTCCAAAAGAAAACCGTGTTTTTGCGATCTTTTCCGAGGAAATCAGCTGATAAATTATCTCGTGGAGTACGCAAACATACAGATGAACTCTAAGGAGTCATATGGCATTCACACTTATACTTTAACTGCGTTTAGATGCAAGCAGAGACTTCTATTAGTTTACACATACTATCCACATCATCTGAATAGAAGACAAAAGTACATTTCCAATGTTAAGTTATTTCTTGGTATTCAAAAGTTTGAAATAGAATACATGTATCATAGACATCTAATAAACTTACTCTGTTTGCTTTAAGATGAATCACTGGATGTGATTGAGCAACATACTTCTAATCTTGCTTTCATCTCAAGATATTTTAGAGCAACTTTTTTTTTCATCTGTTGAAACTAAGGACATCTGCGAAATGTTATTCCAAATCGGTGGAAATTCTTCACTGCACTCTTCAAGACTTCATTTCTCTCTAAATCTGAAAAACGGCAAAGGTATCCATAGACATTCTCTTTAGTTTTGCTTAAATTGATAGCTATTTTTTTCGCAATTTCGTCGCCTTCTGAACGTTCTGAAACTATGGAAGTATTTTTGAAAACCTGTGATAGTTCGGAGTCTCGATTGAAAAGGAATACGAGCGTCTTGGTTTATTGTTACTTTTCTTCCTTCACTCTCATGTGTTCTTTTTTTCTCTTCGTCCTCTTAGTGTGCTATTTCTTACTAACGAAATTGTTCTCCTAAGACACACTGTAAGGATCTCGGTCACAGAAGATTTATTTCGGGACAGAATGTATGCGTATACTCATATGAAATTACAACAAACAATGACTTACCTGAATTGTGTTTTTCGATTGGTACTGTTGATGCAAGTGCTGGCGCTGGTTTGGAAGACTCGACGTTGATTTGTGGTCCAATGGTCGAGTCTTTCTTAGGTAGTAATACCGGATTTGGTGTTTCCGACAGTTCGAGGAGGGGAAACGATGGTTTTATTTCTTTCAGCTGTATTATATGAAGTCCATTACCAGAATCGAGACATGATGTAATCTGGAATTGTCTTGCAGGAAGCAGAAGAATTTCCTCCTCTGCTCGAATGAACGAGTGGTTTTTTACATCTTTTCCTGTATAACAGTCAATTTGGAATAAGGTTCTTGTTCCAGTTTTTCCAAAAAAGCCTTCACATTCAAGAACTTCAACAGTTGAGGTACACGACGAAAATCCCCACCAAATGAAAGTGTTTCCTTTTGGGTATTCTGCTCTTAAATCGGCTTTGACTCCTCGAACAACAAAACGACGCTCTGAGGGAAGCTTTCCCAGTGCTGTCAAAATAAGCCGGAGATAAAGAAACCATGGAACTAATTGTTCTCGTTTTTCTAAGCGCAAAGCTGCATTCAGAATGACATACAATGAGGATTCATGTGGTTTCGATTCGAAGGTGTACAACATAATTGAGGCAGATTCATCGCTCGTTAGACCATCTTCTGGATGTTGACAATTCTGTTTTACTATAAAAACATTGCGTTGTACTTTGGGCACAATGTTAACGAGAGGCTCGACAGCCTGCTCAAGTGAGACAAGTGGCAGATGTTCATATCCTTCGATCGGTGCAAACATTCGATTGGGCACTGCACCGACGTCCGAGAATCGAAGAGGAGACGTTTCTTTTGCGGTGTCGTCAAGGGTCATCTACACATTAAAATATATTTGATATATTGCATCTAGTATTTCTCCGAACTGAAACATCCACACACATCTTCTGGATGTGATTAATTATGAACGAGTGAGCGCAATGAGTATGTGGGTGTGGGTGGGAGTCAAGTTATGAGTACTTATGTTTTTTACCATTAGCCACAACCATCCGTAGAAAAAAATCATTATAGAACTTCTTTTTACGCAGTAGACCTGTATAGACATACAACGTCTCAAAAACATAATACAAAAAACTCCGCGAAATCTATAAAGATTTTTTTCGTGCATCATACAGGAGAACTTTTTCCTAACAAATGTCTGCAGCTTATGACACCAGAAAACGGCGGATGAGAGTGAGCGCGAGGGTAAAAAATCGACACACTATCCACACCCGCTTTAATTCATTTTCGGTTAAGGATCGGTACAAAAAACTTCGTCTCGCTGCACCTTACGCGAACGGTATGCCTTCGCAATTACTACAGTATCTACTAACGTACGTATCAGATAGTTTTCGTTTCTACGAATGGTTATGATTATTTGCGTTGGATACATACTTTACAAGTGAAGCTTGCTGAAGAAGAAAGTAAAAATGCGACATGCTCGGCAAACAAAAAAAAATACGATTTAAACTCTCATATGTTTATTCAGCACCTATGTAGAAACAAAAGACGACCGCATCTCGGCTTTCTCTACTATACTCTTTTCAAAAGTAATTTATTGTGTCACGTAAAATGGCTGACAGAAACGAAAAGAGAAAAATTCAAAAAGAGTTCGCAGAGTAATGGTGCACAGAGCCGTCGACTCACATTCATCCTCACTCACATTGACGCTTGATTAATTCTAATCGGATTATTTCATAGACAGATTGAGGACCGACACTGGTTCTTTTCGTTATGAGTTTTTGTTATTCAGGTCATATTTCAGAATATCTTTTCCTCTTTGTACATGTTTAAGTAGCGATATAAAAAGTTGTTTGAAGAGGTTAGAAACTAGTTACGGAGAGAGATCATTGAAGTCTGCTTCCATTTGTGATTTGTGTAGGTCATAACTATGTGACGAAAACACATTGCTTTTCGTTTTCACAGCGTTTTAATTATTCAAAGAAATAAAAATCAACAAATACACAGACAATGTATGTTGGTGAGACTCTTTTTCTCAATAAATCCAATCAAAGGTTTAACCGTAAAAGAACGATTGGCTATGATATGAGTTAGTTAATTACCCTATTTATTATACGTATACAATAGTATTTTAACATAAAATCTTTTTTATGCATCGATCGTTCGTTGACGATTATTGCGTTTTGTTTGCTCTATGACAAAAATTTTCCCACGTGCTTATTTTACGTATATTTCACGGTCATATTATATTTTTCTCTTTCTGTGTAAGACACCTTTTGATATGTTCGCCTGAATTACTCATTTTTTTGATGGACAAAAAAGTCTTAGGCAGCTCCGATTTTTCTCGAAGCAAAATTTACGGCGTATTACATGTAAAAGTTAGTACTCGGATCGAACGGATATGACGTATTATAATTTGATCACCACTGATACTGGGTGAGATCAGATGGGAACGTTAATTAAGACGGTACACGTTTGTTCAATTAGATACTGATGATCAAAAACATTGCGCAATATTTTTCTTTTGCTTTGAAAATCAGTGTAAATCTGATTTTAATATCGATAGCGCAATAAATGATTGTTGATATAGATTTACTCAGTTTTACATTTGATAGTCATCGGCGAAATGGGCGTATTGATGACGTTTTTCTGTATGAATAGAAAAAAATCAATTTCATTTAATGTGAAATTACCTTCATCGATCAATGACGGTAACGCCCAAAATATAGAAGAAACACGACCATACCCATTCGTTGATCATTCACGAGGCACTGATGCGTAGCATCAATGAGAGCTACATATACGTCAGTTGTGCCTTTAACCTGCTCACTACTAACGAAACAAGTAAATGCAGTATGAATATATTTCAATTTGACATTGCTTGATACCGTTTTATGGAAACAGGTAAAGATAATTCTAATTATACACTACAAAACTTTAGATAATTGTTTATGTTACCTCTTTTAGTTGTTGATATAAGCAAAAATGACTCTAATCGTCAAGAAGAATCTGCTCCATCACCTAATCTTATTCGAACAGCAGTATCTAAGATAAAACAATCAACAAATGACGATCATATTTTAGTATCTGAAATTACACCATGTAAAAATCCGAAATTATTCTTCAGTTTAACCCTCCGTGCATTGGGTGTTATCTTTGGGGATATAGGAACATCGCCACTCTATGTTGTGAATACAATATTCACTTACCAACCAACAGAATCACAATGTATTGGAGCTATCAGTTTGATTATTTGGAGTTTGATCGTGTCGGTCTGTTTGAAATATGCAACATTTATTTTAATCGCTGATAATCATGGAGAAGGTGGAACATTTGCTCTGTGTGGTTTATTAACAGATGAAAAGGTTAAATTGAGTCCAAAGGTAAAACGAGGAATAACACTGCTTGCATTAGTAGCTGCAGCAATGCTACTTGGCGATGGAGCATTGACACCTGCTGTATCTGTTCTATCAGCAGTCGAAGGAGTAGCTGTAGAAGCATCACAATTAAATTCTTGGGTTGTACCAATTAGTGTAATTATCATTGTTCTACTTTTCCTCGCACAACGATGGGGAACATCAAAGATTGGTGTTACTTTTGGTCCCATCATGGTTTGTTGGTTTGTAACTTTGTTTATCATTGGTATTTGGCGTATAACATATAAGCCTTCTATTTTGAAAGCGTTTAACCCATGGGAAGCGTTTGATTATCTGTTGATCGAAAAGACTCGTGGTTTCTATCAAATCGGTGGTGTGTTTTTATCCGTCACTGGTCTCGAAGCTCTGTACGCTGATTTAGGTCATTTCGGAAGANATACATACCTCGACCAGACATGTTATCACCTTCCCATTCTCCAACATATATTCGTCCATCATCGAATACTTGAGTACCTTGACCATGACTTTTGTCATCTTTGAACTGTCCTTCATAGCGTTGACCAGAGGCCCATGTATAAACGCCTTGGCCCGTCATACTATCTTCTACCCAATCTCCAACGTATTTAGCACCATCCGCAGAGATCTGTGTTCCTTTCCCATGTCTGTTGCCATTCTGAAATTGGCCTTCATATGTAGCACCGTCTGACCATGTACAAATCCCTGGACCTGACATGTTATCATCTTCCCATTCTCCAACATATACTCGTCCATCATCGAATACTTGAGTGCCTTTCCCATGGCTTTTGTTATCTTTAAACTGACCTTCATAGCGTTGACCGGAAGCCCATGTATAAACACCGTGCCCTGACATTTTATCATCCTCCCATTCTCCGACGTATATCCGCCCATCATCGAATATTTGTGTACCTCGTCCGTGACTGTTTCCATCTTTGAACTGACCTTCGTAACGACTACCGTCAGGCCACGTATAAATGCCTTGCCCACACATGGTGTCATTTTCCCATTCACCAACGTATTTACACCCATTTGCAAAAATGTGCGTACCCTTTCCATGTCTGTTACCATCCTGGAATTGACCGTCATATCGACCACCATCCGACCACGTACAAACACCGTGACCTGACATGTTATCATCTTTCCATTCTCCAACATATATTCGTCCATCATCGAATACTTGAGTACCTTGACCATGACTTTTGTCATCTTTGAACTGTCCTTCATAGCGTTGACCAGAGGCCCATGTATAAACGCCTTGGCCAGTCATACTATCTTCTACCCAATCTCCAACGTATTTAGCACCATCCGCAGAGATCTGTGTTCCTTTCCCATGTCTGTTGCCATTCTGAAATTGACCTTCATATGTAGCACCGTCTGAGAATGTGAATGTACCTTGACCACACACAGTATCATCCTTCCATTCACCAACGTATTTACATCCATTGGCAAATACATGTGTTCCTTGCCCATGTCGATTATCATCCTGAAATTGACCCTCGTATCGACCACCATCCGACCACGTACAAACACCGTAACCTGACATATTATCATCCACCCATTCTCCGACATATGTTCGTCCATCATCGAACACTTGAGTTCCTTGACCACTTCTCTTGTCATCTTTAAACTGTCCTTCGTAGCGTTGACCGGAGGTCCATGTATAAATACCATAGCCACATTTTGAGTCATGTTCCCAGCCACCGTCATATGTATCGCCGTCACTAAATCTATATGTACCACGACCATGCATTTCTCCGTCTTTGAATTCACCTTCATAATGACCGCCGTCCGGTGATGTATAAGATCCATAGCCATCGGTCACTATAATCATAGTGCAGCTTTATATTAAATCTTCGCCAGTAGTTAGTATATTGACATTAGTGCTATAGTAATTGGGTAAAGTCAGATGAGAAAGAAGTTTTTTTCTTAGCACGAATCCTGCATTCTTTACGAACTGTTTGACTTAATTCACGTAACGAAGGACACCTATTTTTAAATGTATCAAACCTAATCAACAAATTTTCACGTTGAAGAAATACATTAATTGGATACTTCAAAAGAAATTAGTCTTTTTTGCGATCTTTTCTAAGGAAATCAGCTGATAAATTATCTCATGGACTAGACAAACGTACAAATGATAGTATTATCCAAGTAGTTTAGTCTTCACTTTTAAAAGAATGTATGATAGCAAGATGAACTCTAAGGAGTCATATAATATCTATCGAGCTCATAAAAAATCGATCTGCCGGTTTGGTTAGTGTTTCGTATCAGTCTATTCATCCCGATGATCTACGAACTGCAATGATCATATATCGCTATATTAATTCAAATCCTACACCAGAAATGAAAACCCATGCTTTATATAGAGGCAATCAAGTCGTTCAAAGAATTTTCAATGATAAATCAAGATTAGATAAAAATATGGCATCCACACTTATCATTTAACTGCGTTTAGATACAAGAAGAGACTCCTATTAGTTTACACATACTGTCCACATCATCTGAAGAGGAGACAAAGCTACATTTCCAATATTAAGTTATTTCTTGGTATTCAAAAGTTTGAAAAAGAATACATGTATTATAGACATTCAATAATCTTACTCTGTTTGCTTTAAGATGAATCATTGGATGTGCTTGAACAACATACTTCTAATCTTGCTTTCATCTCAAGATATTTTAGAGCAAATTTTTTTCATCTGTTGAAATTAAGGACATCTGCGAAATGTTATTCCAAATCGGTGGAAATTTTTTACTGTGCTCTTCAAGACTTCATTAGGTTTTATCAAATGGTTTCATTTCTCTCTAAACTTGAAAAGCGGCAAAGGTACCCATAGACATTTTTTAGTTTTGCTTAACTTAATAACTACTTGTTTTCGCAATTTCGTCGCCTTATTCAATTTTCATACTGATATAAATGTATCACAAAACGACTCATGAATAGTTCGAAAATATTCATATTTACATATACAAAATGTTGTCGCCTTCTAAACGTTCTGAAACTATGGAAGTATTTTTGAAAACTTATGATAGTTCGGAGTTTCGATTGAAAAGGAATACGAACGTTTTGGTTTGTTGTTACTTTTCTTCCTTCACTCTTATTTGTTCTTTTTTTCTCTTTTTCCTCTTAGTGTGCTATTCCTAACTAACGAAATTATTCTCCTAGGGCACATTGTACGGACCTCGGGCATAGTTACTAAAAATACTGCAGGGAAAAAGATCTGCATTTCAATTGCATATTCTTGATCTTAGAAGGTTTACTTCGAGATAGAGTGTATGCGTGTACGCATATGAAATTACAACAAATACTGACTCACCTGAATTGTGTTTTTCGATTGGCAATGTTGATGCAAGTGCTGGTGCTGGTTTGGAAGACTCCACGTTGATTTGTGGTCCAATGGTCGAGTCTTTCTTAGGTAGTAATACTGGATTTGGTATTTCCGACAGTTCGAGCAGGGGAAATGATGGTTTTATTTCTTTCAACTGTATTATATGAAGTCCGTTACCAGAATCGAGACACGATGTAATCTGGAATTGTCTTGCAGGAAGCAGAAGAATTTCCTCCTCTGCTCGGATGAACGAGTGATTTTTTACATCTTTTCCTGTATAACAGTCAATTTGGAATAAGGTTCTTGTTCCCGTTTTGCCAAAAAAGCCTTCACATTCAAGCACTTCAACAGTTGAGGTACACGACGAGAATCCCCACCAAATAAAAGTGTTTCCTTTTGGATATTCTGCTCTTAAATCGGCTTTGACCCCTCGAACAACAAAACGACGCTCTGATGGAAGCTTTCCCAGTGCTGTCAAAATAAGTCGGAGATAAAGAAACCATGGAACTAATTGTTCTCTTTTTTCCAAGCGCAAAGCTGCATTCAGAATGACATACAATGAAGATTCATGTGGTTTCGATTCGAAGGTGTACAGCATAATTGAGGCAGATTCATCACTCGATAGACCATCTTCTGGATGTTGACAATTCTGTTTTACTATAAAAACATTGCGTTGTACTTTGGGCACAATGTTAACGAGAGGCTCGACAGCTTCCTCAAGTGAAACAAGTGGCATATGTTCATATCCTTCGATCGGTGCGAACATTCGATTGGGCAACGCACCGACGTCCGAGAATCGAAGCGGAGACGTTTCTTTTGCGGTGTCGTCAAGGGTCATCTACACATTAAAATATATTTGATATTATATCAAGTATTTCTCCGAACTGAAACATCCATCTTGAGGGTGAGTATGTGGATGTGGGTGGGAGTGAAGTTATGAGTACTTATGTTTTTTACCAATAGCCACAACTATCCGCAGAACAAAATCATTATAGAACTTCTTTTTACGCAGTAGATCTGTATAGACATACAACGTCTCAAAAACATTATAGAAAACACTTCGCTAAAACTATAAAGCTTTTTTTCGTATATCAGACAGGAGAACTTTTCCCTAACAAATGTCTGCAGCTTAGGGCACCAGAAAAGGCGGATGTGAGTGAGCGCGAGGATAAAAAAGCGACATACTGCCCACATCCGCTTCAATTCATTTTCGTTTGAAAAAAATCCAAAGAAAGTCAAATAGCAAACAATCACTATGGAGATGAGATGAGTGTTACTTTTCGGTTCACGATCGGTACAAAAAAAAACTTCGTTTCGCTGCACCTTACGCGAACCCTATATCTTCACTATTACTACAGTATTGACTAACGTACGTATCAGATAGTTTTCGTTTCTACGAATGGTTATGATTATTTGCGTTGGATACATACTTTACAAGTGAAGCTTACTGAAGAAGAAAGTAAAAAATACGACTTGCTCGGCAAATAAAAAACATTACGATTTAAACTCACATGTTTATTCAGCACCTATGTAGAAACGAAAGACGACCACATCTCGGCTTTCTCTACTATACTTTTTTCAAAAATAATTTATTGTGTCACATAAAATGACTGACAGAAACGAAAAGAGAAAAATTCAAAAAGAGTTCGTAGAGTAATGGTGCACAGAGCCGTCGACTCACATCCATCCTCACTCACATTGACACTCTGTTGATTCTAATCGGATTATTTCATGTACAGATTGAGGACCGACACTGATTCTATCCGTCGTCAGTCTTTATTATTCAGGTCATATTTCAGAATATCTTTTCCTTTCTGTACATGTTTAAGTAGTGACATAAAAATCTGTTTGAACAGGTTAGAAACTAGTTACGGAGAAAGACCATTGAAATCTGCTTCCATTTGTGACGTGTGTAGGTCATAACTATGTGACGAAAACATATTGCTTTTCATTTTCACAGTGCTTTAATTATTCAAAGAAATAAAAATCAACAAATACACAGACAACGTCTGTTTGCAAGACTCTTTTTCTTAATAAATCCAATCTAAGGTTTAACCGTAAAAGAATGATTGGCTATGATATGAGTTACTTAATTATCCTAATTATTACATGTATATTTTAACATAAAGTCCTTTTTATGCATTGATCTTTCGTTGACAATTATTGCGTTTTGTTTGCTCTATGACAAAAAAATTTCCACGTGCTTATTTCACGTATATTTCACGGTCATACTATATTTTTCTCTTTCTGTGTAAGACACCTGTTGATATGTTCGGCTGAATTACTCATTTTTTTGATGGATGAAAAAATCTTAGCCAGCTTCGGTTTTTCTAGAAGCAAAATTTACGGTGTATTACGTGCAAAAGTCACTTCTGATAATGATGAGTATTACTCGGATCGAACGGATATGACGCATTACAATTTGATCACCACTTATACTGGGTGAAGCCAGATTTTCGAACAATATCAAATTGACATCGATATGCAATCAACTGACAATTATAATGTTAAATACTTGTCAATTGCTCCATTGTCAGTCGGTGATGTAAAATTTTCTCCAATACAATCAGATGGGAACGATCCGATGGCACTTGATCCTCTTCGGAGAGAAATATGATGATAAACCTGTCCACCATCGATCACATTATGGATTACAACGAGCAGCCAATCAAAATAAATTATCCTGCGGCATTGACGATGCGAATGTTAATTAAGACGGTGCACGTCTGTTCAATTAGATAGTTATGATTAAAAACATTACGCAATGTTTTTCTTTTGCTTTGAACATAAGTGTAAATCTGATTTTAATATCGATAGCGCAATAAATGATTGTTGATATAGATTTACTCAGTTTTACATTTGATAGTCATCAGCGAAATGGGCGTTATTGATGACCTTTTTCTGTATGAATAGAAAAATCAATTTCATTTAATGTGAAATTACTTTCATCGATCAAGGACGGGTAACGCCCAAAATACGAAAGAAACACGACCATACCCATTCGTTGATCATGCACGAGGCATTGATGCGCATCATCAATGAGAGCTACATATACGTCAGTTGTGCTTTTAACCTGTTCATTACTAACGAAACAAGTAAATGCACTATGAATATATTTCAATTTGACATTGCTTGATACCGTTCTATGGAAACAGGTAAAAACAATTGTAATTACACACTACAAAACTTTAGATAATTGTTTATGTTACCTCGTTTAGTTGTTGATATAAGCAAAAATGATTCTAATCGTCAAGAAGAATCCGCTCCATCACCTAATCTCATTCGAACAGCAGTATCTAAGATAAAACAATCAACAAATGACGATCATGTTTTAGTATCTGAAATTACACCATGTAAAAATCCGAAACTATTCTTCAGTTTAACCCTCCGTGCATTGGGTGTTATTTTTGGGGATATAGGAACATCGCCACTCTATGTTGTGAATACGATATTCACTTACCAACCGACAGAATCACAATGTATTGGAGCTATCAGTTTGATTATTTGGAGTTTGATCGTGTCGGTCTGTTTGAAATATGCAACATTTATTTTAATCGCCGATAATCATGGAGAAGGTGGAACATTTGCTCTGTGTGGCTTATTAACAGATGAAAAGGTTAAATTGAGTCCAAAGGTAAAACGAGGAATAACACTGATTGCATTAGTAGCCGCAGCAATGCTACTTGGTGACGGAGCATTGACACCTGCTGTATCTGTTCTATCAGCAGTCGAAGGAGTAGCTGTAGAAGCATCACAATTAAACTCTTGGGTTGTACCAATTAGTATAATTATCATTGTTCTACTTTTCCTCGCACAACGATGGGGAACATCAAGGATTGGTGTTGCTTTTGGTCCCATTATGGTTTGTTGGTTTGTAACTTTGTTTATCATTGGTATTTGGCGTATAACATATAAGCCTTCTATTTTGAAAGCGTTTAACCCATGGGAAGCGTTTGATTATCTGTTGATCGAAAAGACTCGTGGTTTCTATCAAATCGGTGGTGTGTTTTTGTCCGTCACAGGTCTCGAAGCTCTGTACGCTGATTTAGGTCATTTCGGAAGATGGCCAGTCCGTGCAGCTTGGTTCTTTGTTGTATTTCCCGGCGTCTTATTCAATTATTTAGGTCAAGGGGCATTATTAATCGTTGATCCATCGCTAGTTGACAATCCATTTTATCATGCAGTACCGAATTGGTTCCACTGGCCTATGGTTGTTCTGGCTACTGTAGCAACAATCATTGCTTCACAAGCAATCATTACTGGTAGCTTCTCATTGGTCAGTCAAGCCATTGGTATGGAATGTTCAGTTCCTGTTAAAATTTATCATACATCAAAGACAATTATCGGTCAAATTTATATTCCAACAATCAATTATATTTTAATGATTTTGACTATTATCATTATCATTGGATTTGGTACGAATGCGAGTATTACGAATGCTTATGGTGTGACCGTTTGCACCGTCATGGTATTTACAACAATATTATATATGTGTGTTATGCATTACACATGGCACAAACCATGGTATATGATTTTACCGTTCGGATTGTTCCTTATTATCGATGGATACACATGGGCATCGAATGCTACTAAAATTCCTACTGGAGGATGGGTGGCTGTTGTTATTGCCACGGGGTTTTTTATATTTGGATTTTGTTGGTTTTTTGGTCAATTGAATTTGCGACGTTTTCTCAAGATTCATTCACAGACAACGAGCCTTCACACTTTAGCATTACGACTTGGATTATCGGAGTCGAATACACGACAAAACTCGAATAGCTCCGTCAATGATCTTCCCATAATTTCAACGGCTAGTCGAATTGATTTTCACGATGAAATCGACTCGGAATCCGATGACGATGACATCGACGTGAAAAATAAAGGATCTTTGCCTAAAGTTGCAAGCCAAGTACGTCTAGTAGAAAATGTGCCAATTAAACGAGCATCTGCAATTTCGTCTTACATTCATGAGCAAAATAATATCCCTAATCATACCATATCAGCTGTCATTACACCATGTGTTGGTTGCTTTCTGACAAGTTCAACAAAACACACACCACATGTTTTTGAAAATTACTTAACTCGAACACGTTCGGTGCCGCAAGTTATCATATTTCTTCGTATCGAACACATCAAATCGTCCACAATTGAAGATGATAGACGGCTCGCTGTGAAGCAATATGGAGAAGGTATATTTCATCTTACAGCATTATACGGTCACTCTGAAAATCGTATCAAACCTTTTGATATCTTAACACTTGCTCGAACACAATTCAATTTACCCATACCTGATCACGAATCAAAAGTGACAATATTCACACCAAATGAAACAATTAAAGTATCAACTGTAGGATGGGCTAGTTGGATTCGACGTTGGCCGCTGTATCTCTATGCTATACTGAAAAGTCTTTATCCAGGCGCAGCTGTGAACATTAAATTAGCACCGGAGAATACAATTAACATTGGTATATTAGCTAAACTAAAATAACTTCAGATGAGCTTTAATCGACTGACATTTTTTCGCTGTAGATAACCTATATATATATATATATAGAGAGAGAGAGAGAGATCACAAGAAACTTCTATTTAAAAATAAACATATGTGAAAATTAAAACATTTCAATATTATCGACATTCACTGCAATTTCCGTGGGTATAAATTGAAGCAAATTAGACTTGCTCACAGGACGTGTCACTAGCGACGAATGATGTCGTGATATGAATTGTCCAACTGTATCGCCCAAAAAGTTCGGATAGAAGGGTTGAACAGATATTGATTCAGTGTGATGTACTGGAACATCAAGTTTCGAGAGTTTGACATCGGGAGAATACATTTCATCGTCGCGTGTCCATGTATAAACTATACCAGACGAATTTAGTTTGTACATCGTTGATGACGTGAGTGAGAGGAATTCAATCGAATTTATAGTAGTTTCCTTATTATCCGAATGACAAACAAGTGTTCCAGAAAGTAGGAACAATCTATCAGTTGCTTTTAAATGAACTTCTAAGTCCGATTCATTCTTGTAAAAGCTCGCAATTTCACTCAAAACCAATTGTAACTGTGCATGAGTTAACTGTAATCTTGTCTGATAATTGTTGATGAGTGCATGAAGTGCGATTTCATCGTAAATCGATCGCGATAAATTATCATCGTTTAATAATGTGCTCAATAGATCCCTATCGATAGCATATGCTTCAACAAGTCCACTTCCAGCTTTGTACGTACGACGAGCCGACATGTGTTCAAAGAATACTGAATCGATGCCAATCATAGCACCCGATTTGTAACAAGTAGGAATCGGATCGTCATCACATTCAACAATACCTCGAATAATCAAAAAGGCATTGCCGATAGTTTGATTACTTTGTACGAGAACTTCTTTTGGTTGAAACCACGTACATCGTAGCTTCAAAACAGANCGAGCTTTTTCAAATCAAAGACTTACTTAGAGTTAGTTCAATGGTTAAGAATATGCGATCGAATAATAGTTTATTCTTCCATCGATTAATTATGTCAAACTGTTCGAATTTTAATAATTTCATCAATAAAATCGACAAGCGAAAGTACTCAACAATCAATTTCCAATGAACTTTGATGGAATACTTTTGTTTTGCTTGTTCAACTGATTCAGTTAGGATATCCAATGTCTGTCAACGGATCATTCCGAAATACCATTGTTTTTCATAATCAATAGATCTTGCTGTTAGAAAACGTGTTATTATCTCTTTTCGAATATTATCACGATCTTCTTCATTTGTATCAGTTAGATTGATTACAGGAAGGATGTTCGGTTTTTCTAATGAACTGGTCGGCATAGAATTTAGTTGATAAATTGTCGGTACACGTTTCAAATTCCCTTCCATCGTTGTCGTTTGTGCTCGAGAAATTTCTTCGTTTTGCACTAGAAAATTTAGATTACTATGACATGATAGATCTCGCCGAATAGTAGTGTTCTGTTCTTGATCCAGTTCTTCCAAAAGTTTATCCGGTAGATAATCACTGAGCATTTTCCAATCAACATCAGCAAATTTTTCATCCTGTTTCATACTGGCCAGTTGTTGTAAAGTCTGTCGGCGCATATGCTCAAGCGCTTGTACTAAAATAATTTGACTTCCTTTCTTACCTAAAATCAAGACATTTTTTTTTCATTACCAATATTAAAAGAAGACAAACAAACCGCGATTCAAGCCTAAAATTCTCACAAGAAACTTGCTACTTGTTCCATTGACAACCAGTGTGAGAAGTACGATGATTGATGCATGAAATAGAAAACGATCACGTGTTTGAAGATCGATTCTTGAATCCAAGAACACAATGAGAACTAGAATAAGTGCCATACTTCCTCGAAGATTACTCCATATAAGAATGATACAATCTTTCCACGATAGATGTACACCGGTACGTCGCATCAATGGATAGAGAATAGCAATAGTCAAAGCTCGTGCGATGAGAATTACAAGATATAAGACAATGGAGAATCCAAAATCTCGACCAGAAATAGTTGCAATTGTGCCGAGAAACGATTTAGCTAAAATAATACCAGTAATCGTGAATATTAAGATATTAATTATATAAATAACCATTCGCCAAGCACTAGCCAACGGAAGTTGCACTTTGCTGCTAATACAATATTTGTATTTTGCCATATACAAACCCATTGCACCTAAGGCAAGAGCGCCAGAAATGCCAAGTCCAACATCAGCGACATAGAAGATTAGATAGGCAACTCCGAATGTAATTGTAATTTCCACGTTGAGTTTGTTATAAATTCTATTTAAAATAAATACACAAATAATACCACAAGCAAATCCGAAAGCAGGTCCACCTGAAAAAGAACTCGCTTATAAAATAAGAAAACAAATCGACAACATCATACCAATACTATATTTGATAATATCTATTATGATAATTTTCGCACTATGATCACCACCGACAACAATATTTTTAAAAGTTAAAAAGGCAACGAATGTTGAACCGTCGCTCAATATCGATTCTGACTCGACTAACGAAGTCAATAACTTGCTTGCATCTGAATCTTGTAATAGTGGAATTACTGCAATTGCATCATTTGCACTCAACGTGCTCCCAAATAGAAAACCTTCGAGCTATGACCAATCGTAAGGAAATATGTAGATACTACAGATCGCGACGAGAATTATAGATATGAACACACCGGGACCGGCTAGTAGCGGACAGGAGCTGTTGTTTCACAATATGAAAATGACAATTAAATGCTGAATGGAATATAAGTGCCGGTAAAAAGATATAAAAGAGCAAATGAGGATTAATTTCACTCAGTTCGATTTCACCAGCTAGAAATTCGTTCGGATTGCCTTTGATATGATGTGCAATGACACCGATAACAAGTCCCAAGATAAGTACAACAACTGTAAATGGAATGGGTAAGCGGTTTTTCAAGAGTTTACATACGATGATTTCATAAGTGCACGCTGCTAAAACGGAATACGATAGAAAGAGAATAACAGTACCATGACTTCCTTCGCTATCATGATTATTGGTTGTCGTAGAATTGTTTGGTATAGCTATCAAGTGAAAGTTTACATTATCTTATCTTCATCATAGGTGTGTTGATAACGGAAATTTAACAGTGAGAGCGATCATCCATGACGTGATCATATTAAAAACCGTGCATAAGAAGAGATAACATAAGTGCACAGTATTACAATACGTAATACTATCTTCCACGTGCGTTAGAAAAGGTTTATAACACGCCGTGAGTCGTCAATCTTATTGTATTGTTATATAAAGCAAAAGACTTAATAACTTATTTGAAACGAACAGTATCTAATACCTACAACTACAAAGTGTCTTGGTAAATATTAATTCAATTCCAAAAACTTTCTGAGATAAGGCTGCTATGATTTTTATGAGTGCAATATGTTTCATTTATTGGGTTTCCGAAATAAAATCCTAAACGATCGACTTTACGAGAACCCATAGACACTAACTGAATGTAGTGGAAGAAAAACAGTTTATAGTGGTTATTAGATTTGTCCATTTTTTATATCCATAAACCATTTCTCCAGTGATGGATGTTCGGAAAAATCAATCGTCAGATTTCTGCCAAGTTTTTTCCATAATGTTGAATATTGATCGAAATGCCGTATAATAGTGCCAAAATTTCCTTCACCAACGGTGTATTCTACCATTGGCACACAACATGCGTTACGTTCCTTCGATTCTGTCTCGTCTATATACTGAATTGTATATTCACCATATGGAAGTGGATAACCAAGTGCACCTCCGATATCGATCATGTTGATAGATGATGAATTAGTGGTAAAAGTTTGCTTTACAAGTGAATACCGTTCGTGTTTCTAAAGACGTCAAGAAATAGACGTTCGGCGAGACAAATCGTCATGCTTACTTTATTCGCAAAGATCCAACCGCCTTTGTAATCTTCTGTGAGTGGTGGTTTCAACTTCCATAATTCGAATCCTTCTTTTTCGAGTTGAAACTCGTCAAATATTGGTTTTAATGCCTTCTCAACGAGACCTGTTGCATAGTCATGCATGACATAATGTGCTAAAAGAGTACATGGTTTAATACCGAACAATGTAGCAAGGATTTCGCCATCTAAAGTAAAGATAACAAATAGAGTTTATTCCTAACGAAAACTTACATTCCAGCAAATGAAATGGATTATAATTTTTTAATCGACCATCGGGACTGAGAAGTTTCTTCTTATCATCTGATAATGATTGGAAATAATCCCATTCTAACGATTTGAATTTCTGAAATGCTGCTATCTTGAAATCGACTGTATCACCGTTAGCCATCTGACTTGTTTCTTGTTCTATGACTGACTTTGTATCGTACAAATGAATTAATGAACAAATATTTCGCGCCTGATTTGTAGATTGAACGTTATATTCAAGAACTATTGAAACAATAGACAATCTATACAAACTGAAACGCTGATTGGATTCGTCGAGAATTGTATGTATAAACTATACTTGTTCAAGAAGATGGCGCCCTCGTACATCATGTACACGAGAATTGGGAATTTTTTCTATATAGAATCTTAACAGTAATGAAGAGAAAAGAGAAAGCGTTGATCTTCGCCATCGCAATCAATCAATATCGTTGCATCCAGTAACAAGAGGACGAGCCGATCGAACTGTAGCGTCATCATGTTTACAAGTTAGATTTTCGCAGTATTCTTTTATTTTATCCGGCACTTCTCCACACCCTCAATTAATGGTTATTTCTATTTTAAGCATATTAGTTTCACTGTGAGAGATTATTTTTGACCTGAAACTGTCCTATATTTTCAACTATTAACACAAATTCCTTTGTTCGAAGTTATAAAAAGTACGGCAATTGTTTGCAGGTAGGTGTCGATAAGACGTCGATATTCTTCACCGAGATAGTAGAGAGAAATGTTTTACCATTCATTTCTCGTGTTTTGCAACAAAGAGTAGCAAAACTGCAATGTTCGCGTCGTTGTTATTACTGGTACTATCATTTCATTTCGTAGAAGGTAAGCAACAACATTGCTATTGTCCAAGTTCTTTTAAATAATTAATGATCGTACGTAGGAAGTGCCTTTGAACCCACATTAAATTGTAGTCAATACTCCGATGACCGTCATGTACTGAATTCGCTTCCGTTTAAAGTTACCATATTGGATAATTCTTCTTCGTGTCAGCAAAATCCTGCTTGTGCCCGTCTCAATGCACAAAACCAAGTGTATGACTTGGCACTCGACCTTGTTCCAACAGCATTACAAGTCTATTGCCTCACTCATTTACAGTCCCTTTATATTTTCGGTTATATAACATCGGGTTATACATGGCCTATTCCTTATGAAATTGGCAAACTTACCAATTTAACGTATCTTTCGTTATCGTATGTTGACGGTAAAGACATTCCGGAGACAATTGGTGAACTAAAATTGTTACGCACTCTGTATTTACTTGCGATCCGAATTACGTACATAACAGGAGCTCTAGCTGCTTTACCTAGTTTAACAGACCTGACTCTCCACGCACCTTTAGCTGAGCTGCCATCCTTTCTGAGCATTCTTCCTTTGAATCATTTGGGTATTCTCAACGGACAATTTACTACAATACCGGAAGATTTCTTTCGAAATTTAAATCCGACTTTGTCATCTTTAACAATTGATATTTCACATTTAGTCAACTTAGGTCCGTTTGCAGACTTAACGAACTTAACCACTCTTGGTATCACTGGTGACGGTATGTCGGTTTTACCTTGGCAATTCACCTACATGACAAACCTGAAAGACTTGAGATTTCAAGGATTGAACTGTCTGTCGGCTTTCCCACGAAATTTTACCAGAGGTGTCACCTACCTTGATCTCAGCAAAAATTGCTTCACCCAACTCCCCGCACCACTCTTACTAAGCGAAACTTTGGCTAATATAGATATGTCCTATAACCAACTTACAGATTTGTCGACACTTGCCTTGTCACGATCGCCTTTAAGTGTAGTATTTCTTCCATTTAATCAAATTCAGTACATTCCTCCTGAAATTATCAATCTTAGCGAATCACTTAGCTATCTTGCTTTATATGGCAATCAGCTGACGACTTTGCCAGCAGAACAAATAGTGAAAATGAAGAAATTGACTGGCCTCGATGTCCAATTTAACAATATTAATGATACAGAAAAGGCGCGTTTGAAATCGATTTTCGCCGCAAATCCTAATCTGACAGTTTATTTTTGAGTGCATCCATTAAAATGATTCTTTTTCTATGTTTATTAGACCTTTGCAATAAATTGTAGTCATGTCCGATTTGTGTTGTTTGTCAAAATATAATCACACAAATCATCAATGAACAAGTGGAGATATTCAACAGAATGGCTTTGATGTTTCAAACAGTATTTGACTACAGAAAAATGATCATCAAGCTTTCGGACTTGATCTAGACTTTGGTTATTCTTACTGTTGGAATAAGTATTTTCGACCGTATATTGAGTTTCTTCATCACTGATAATTTCAACGGGTTGGTAAATCTGAAGACGGTAAGCATTGTAGATAAGAATGATCCAACCGCAAATGCAAACAGTATCCGAAAGTAATACACTGGGAGAGCGGTGAAAAACGACAAAATAAAGAAGATTGTATATGGAATACAGATTGGGACGAGAACGATTATTGTGATAACTATCTGTCGGATCATTTTCAATTCACGCTGAATACGAAATAAAACATTCGCCGGTGTCACACGTTGGTTCATCATCTTAACATAACGAATCAGCTTCAGATAGATAAACATCACCAATGAGAGTGGAATTGAATAGACACATAGTGAGAGAAAAATTAATGCAAAAGAAAGTCGAAGAGGAACGTCACAAACATCAATATCAGCAATGTAACTGATGTCGCCAGTAAACATAAAAGCCATGGGAAATGTTAATCCATAGAGCCACGTGAGAACGATAAGGATGAATTGACTTCTTAATGAGAGCCAAGTGACATGTTTCGGATAGAAAACAATCAAATATCGATAGACGGCTTGAAGAAGAAATGAACAGATAACGATAGCACAGAAAGCATATCGAAGATAAGCTTGAAAGATACACGAGCGATCCTGATGTTGAGCCGTTTGAAGATCATTTTGCAATCGAAGTATGCTGATCCAAAACATATTACCTGCATGTAACACTCCAATAACACAGGAATTTGCTACGAATAACATCGGAACGGTATGGCATGTTTTATCAAAGATAATGATTAATAAAAATAGTAATGACAATATAATGACCAAAATCAGACAGACGATATTGAAAATATCTAGTGGAATATGCCAGAATTCAATACTGAAGGTGGTATTTGAAAGAGAAACTAGATCGGTTGTTGAATTCATTTTTCCTTTCGAAAATGACTGCTGAAGAAAAATCTGGTCTATTTTTCAATATTTGCGTTAAAAGATCTTTGAGTAGAAGAAGTACTTTTGATAAGTAGTGACGTTATAATAAAACACACCGTCTGACAACAATGTATTTCAATGAAGAAAAGCAAATAATTATTTTCAGTGGAAATAAGCTCTTGATTGAATTACATTTCAAATATGTTAAGCATCATTTCCAATTCTTTCCGTTATTGATGAGAATCTAAGATTCATGACAATCAACATTTCTTCAAGAAACTTGATAGGATACTTGAAACATTATTATTATATCTGATTTTTTTCCGGTTAAAAGAAAATAAATCAACACAAACAAATAGTAGAAGTAAACTAGGAAAGTATCAAAAAATGTTCTTTTAAATCACAATGTGAGAGTGAGGCTTTGCTCCTCATTATTAATGGAAGATGGACGTGAGTGCATGTTTGAATACAAGACGTCCGTACCCACACTTTCTCAAGGAGACATGATATGTATTAAATCATGAAGTTGATTGTATATGAATAATGTGTGGTCGTTGATTACAAAATCAATACCGCCTATCTCTAATGATATATGCATCGAAAAGGACACAAAAGACACCTGTAAAATGAGTAGTTGGCGAAAATATCAATGGAATTGTTAGCATGAACGTCGGTGATTTTCGTCGTCACGGAACATATATAAAATAATATCATTTGAAAAATATGAAAGTATTCTGTTTTCAATAAGCATATAATTATCGTCACATTATTGAGAATTCAAAGGCGAGAAGCGATTGGCGTCTTCTTTTTTGACGAATTTTACATCTAATTGCTGTTTTCCTCATGTTAATAAAAAATATTACATTATTGCTTGAAGGTAGCCTCTATCAGTCGTAATTATCGTGTATGTACATGATTTTGATTCAAACATGTAGTTAGGTATTGTCCCCAACGAAAGTTTCGATTCAGTATTCTATATTCTTTTTCAGAAAGTCAGCTAGCAGTGACCATGCTTGCAGATCCTGGATATCACACACAATCTATTCAACGATCAGGGCAACAACGTGAATCATTACCGGAAATCAAATTCTCTCTATGGCATACATTCAAACATCATATTCCACGTGTTCTTCTCACTGCCGTGTTCTATCTTATTCTTCCGCTTGTAATGTTTTTTGTGTTACGAAATCAACTTTCAACAATTTACGTCCTATTAATCTCAGGTGTACCACCGCTGGTCGTGATTTTTTTTAAGCCTTCATATCACGAACGTTCGACGCACTTGGTTTTCTTATTCTAGCTGGCTTCGTTATTTCGGCGGTTGTTGCACTTGTTACAAAGAATGATACTGTACTGTTGCCAGAAAAAAACCCTGATTACGGGTGTTGTTTCAATTATTTTTGCTGTTACATTAATTCCTATCCGATGCTGCTGCCATCGATGTCGATGGTGGCAATGACATACTATTTCTATCAAGATTTACTACCAACGACACAAAATCAGCTGATAAACAAGAGGTAGCACAAGTGTATGATTGGCTATATACAAACTGCTCGTCTTTTTGTCGAACGTGCTATGTTATAATGGCCATTTGGGTTGTCGGTCCTTTCTTGAAATTTGTTGTTCGATTAATTCTTGTTCTTATCCATCTAAGCGTCGCGCAAATTTTTATCTATGCACACGTTATTTTAGGTGTGATGGTGGCAATACATGGTGCATTAACAACTATTTGCGTATCGAAAGAACGTAAAAAATCGATAGCATTCATGAAACAATTAAATGAAAGACGTTGAAATATAAGATGTCCACTAGAGCAACGATCGAATCTTTCCCTTTGGATTATAGGAGACACTTCCACTTTCGAGGGATTCGTGCCTGATATAGGAATACTCATACTTACATTGATGGATTCTCTCCAGTATTAAATGCCGTAGCGATTCGGCGCATTCATTTGAATATTTTATGAATTAGTTGAGAATGCACCCTACTTCACAAAAAAGTAACACTATACGATCGGATGATTATTCACTTGAGTTCGTCGTCAGTGTAACGATTCTATCTTGTTTAATGTTTTCAATATAGATAGTATTATTCATAGTCACAAATAATGTGTAAATAGTGCTTGATCCACTGGATACAGTTTTTTTTGTTGAACTGTGGATTTGATGAGAGCACTGCTGTAAATCAAGAACAACACTCAAGCCTCACCTACTTTTTATTATCCGTTGGCTTCAGACACTTTTACCTAATAATATCTATCTTCAAGTAATTTCATCGAGCTTCGTTCATATTTATCCAGTTTTATCTATTGCACAGATGGTTCTGCTTATATCACCCTACAATAAAACTACTTCGGAAAGTTTTACATTAATATCGCTTTTAATTATTCATTCAAGATAAGAACAATGTTATCGATAGCACCGTTATCATACGTGCCACTCGAGCGAGTAAATTTAACTAAAACTTCAAAAGAGCGAGTGCCACTTGGTACTTGTCCATTCGCTTGTCGAAAAAGCAGTGAGGTCACATTACCACGATCTGCAGCTCGTACTGGTCCAATAGTCGTCGCATTTCCGATCATTTGATTTGATTGATTGAAAAACATCAGTGAAGCTTCAACAGCGTCATCTTGATTACCAGCGCCGCCAATCCACGCTGAAAAATTGAACCGAACTGTTTGATCATCAATTAATGAATAGAAATAACTTGTGAAGTTTTGCTTTTGCCACATTGTTGTCGTGGAGCTAGCCTGACCATAGAAATGACAATTACCACGATCACTAGGAAAATAAAAGTTTCATCAAATAATTTATCCAACTTTATGTCTCACCTTGGTCCTGGTTCTGTAGATTTGTGAGTTGAGTATGTGTTATTATAGTATGCTTGAGTGACTGTTCCATTATGATTCCAATCAGTTGGACTTATAACACTACTATCTGATGCACATGGACCCGTTTCGGCATCACCATTGATGATCCAGTTTCTTTCGCTTACTATAAACAAAGTTGTGTGAGAAAAAAACAGCATTGTATTGACGATACTTACTAGCTGATAATTGTCGATTGTCAATCGCAGTCATAGTTACAACATTTTCATTTGTTATCATTTGACCATATTGTCGAACAATATCAATGAATAATTCACATTGAAGATTTGATTGATCAAAAATCGCTGTCCGACAATCTGTATTAATTAAACAAGCTGCTTGGCAAGCTTGCATATTTGAAGTCAAAGTAACTGTAATTGGCGAACAATGCGGGTCAACACATCGATATTGTGTATTGTCAATAATTGATAATATTATCATACGTGTATTCTGTGCTATTGACTGATTAATAATAGTCAACAGAAATAATAAAATCATGAATTTCATATTCCAGTTAGAAGAAAAGACAACTGTTGAATATTTTCTAGTCAGTTTTCTCCTTACTTCCAAGGTATTTGAAAAAAAGAAAAGGAAATTGGTTCGCACTTCACAGAAAGATTTTGAAGATAAAACTAAAATAAGGTATTCAAGTGATTCCGCCTATCTAGAAATTATCTAACGGACATATTTATGAAAGAGCGTAATATCGTCGTCATAAAAGCTCTTGCATGATTCAAGTATTTAGTTCTTCAACCAAACAGCCTTTCATCACATTCTAAAATAACCGTGAACTTATCTCTAAGGATGACACACACATTACCGACAACATTAATGCACCATAAAACGTTAATGGAAGAAAAAGACAACAACTATCTATTAGGGAACACATGTATCCGTTGATATTCCGAACGAGTTGATTACGACAGTGAATGAATCCACATTTTCATAGTAAAGAAACTTTCTTACTTCTTCAATTCGGTTTGTATAGGTCGAGAGAAGCTGATAGTTTTTCAACTGAATAACCTTTTATTAGATTCTTTTTAACCATGAACGTACAATAAAGGTGAGAGTATGGACGTTTCTAAATCGTTGTTACTCACTCACATCAACCTATCTTTCAGCTGCGTTTGACAGCATATCTTTGTACTCGATTATTGAAGAGATCTACGACGTAAAGATTTTCTTGTCCATCAATGGATAAACCAAATGGATAGCTGAGCTGATTCGCATATTGTCCCCTTCCGTTGCCACCAACAACAATACTTCCTTCTTTGGCGCCTTTAGGCCAACACATTACCCGGTGATTGTCAGAATCAGTCACATATACAGTTTCATATTGATCGACTATGATTCCATAAGGCTTGGACAGTTGTGATAAAGAACTACCCTTTCCATGGCCACCAGCGACAACAATTCCTTGTTTCGCATCTTTTAGCCNATGGTTTGTTGGTTTGTAACTTTGTTTATCATTGGTATTTGGCGTATAACATATAAGCCTTCTATTTTGAAAGCGTTTAACCCATGGGAAGCGTTTGATTATCTGTTGATCGAAAAGACTCGTGGTTTCTATCAAATCGGTGGTGTGTTTTTATCCGTCACTGGTCTCGAAGCTCTGTACGCTGATTTAGGTCATTTCGGAAGATGGCCAGTTCGTGCAGCTTGGTTCTTTGTGGTATTTCCCGGTGTCTTATTCAATTATTTAGGTCAAGGAGCATTATTAATCGTTGATCCATCGCTAGTTGACAATCCATTTTATCATGCAGTACCAAATTGGTTCCATTGGCCTATGGTTGTTCTGGCTACTGTAGCAACAATCATTGCTTCGCAAGCAATCATTACTGGTAGCTTCTCATTGGTCAGTCAAGCCATTGGTATGGAATGTTCAGTTCCTGTTAAAATTTATCATACATCAAAGACAATCATCGGTCAAATTTATATTCCAACGGTCAATTATATTTTAATGATTTTGACTATTATCATTATCATTGGATTTGGTACGAATGCGAGTATTACGAATGCTTATGGTGTGACTGTTTGCACTGTCATGGTATTTACAACAATATTATATATGTGTGTTATGCATTACACATGGCATAAACCATGGTATATGATTTTACCGTTCGGTTTGTTTCTTATTATCGATGGATACACATGGGCATCGAATGCTACTAAGATTCCTACTGGAGGATGGGTGGCTATTGTTATTTCCACAGGTTTCTTTATATTTGGATTTTGTTGGTTTTTTGGCCAATTGAATTTGCGACGTTTTCTCAAGATTCATTCACAGACAACGAGCCTTCACACTTTAGCATTACGACTTGGATTATCTGAGTCGAATACACGACAAAACTCGAATAGCTCTGTCAATGATCTTCCTATAATTTCAACGGCTAGTCGAATTGATTTTCACGATGAAATCGACTCAGAATCCGATGACGAAGACATCGACGTGAAAAATAAAGGATCTTTGCCTAGAGTTGCAAGCCAAGTACGTCTAGTAGAAAATGTGCCAATTAAACGAACATCTGCAATTTCATCTTATATTCAAGAGCAAAATAATATTCCTGATCATACTATATCAGCTGTCATTACACCAAGTGTTGGTTGCTTTCTGACAAGCTCAACAAAACATACACCACATGTTTTTGAAAATTTCTTAAGTCGAACACATTCAGTGCCGCAAGTTATCATATTTCTTCGTATCGAACACATCAAATCGTCCACAATCGAAGATGATAAACGGCTCGCTGTAAAACAATATGGAGAAGGTATATTTCATCTTACAGCATTATACGGTTATTCTGAAAATCGTATCAAACCCTTTGATATTTTAACACTTGCTCGAACACAATTCAATTTACCCATACCTGACGACGAATCAAAAGTGACAATATTCACACCAAATGAAACAATTAAAGTATCAACTGTAGGATGGGCTAGTTGGATTCGACGTTGGCCATTGTATTTCTATGCTATACTGAAAAGTCTTTATCCAGGCGCAGCTGTGAACATTAAATTAGCACCGGAGAATACAATCAATATTGGTATATTAGCTAAACTAAAATAACTTCAGATGAACTTTGATCGATTGACATTTTTTCGCTGTAGATAACCGATAGATATATATAGAGATTACAAAAAACTTCTATTTAAAAATAAACATATATAAAAATTAAAACATTTCGATACTATCGACATTTGCTGCAATTTCTGTGGGTATAAATTGAAGCAAATTAGACTTGCTCACAGGGCGTGTCACTAGCGACGAATGATGTCGTGATATAAATTGTCCAACTGTATCGCCCAAAAAGTTTGGATAGAAGGGTTGAACAGATATTGATTCAGTGTGATGTACTGGAACATCAAGTTTCGAGAGTTTGACATCAGGAGAATACATTTCATCGTCGCGTGTCCATGTGTAAACTATACTAGACGAGTTGAGTTTGCACATTGTCGGTGCCGTGAGTGAGAGGAATTCGATCGAATTCATAGTAGTTTCCTTATTATCCGAATGACAAACAAGTGTTCCAGAAAGTAGGAGCAATCTATCAGTTGCCTTTAAATGAACTTCCAAGTCTGATTCATTCTTGTAAAAGCTCGCAATTTCACTCAAAACCAACTGTAACTGTGCATGAGTTAATTGTAATCTTGTCTGATAATTGTTGATAAGTGTATGAAGTGCGATTTCATCGTAAATCGAACGTGATAAATTACTATCGTTTAATAATGTGCTCAATAGATCCCTATCGATAGCATATGCTTCGACAAGTCCACTTCCAGCTTTGTACGTACGACGAGCCGACATGTGTTCAAAGAATACTGAATCGATGCCAATCATAGCACCCGATTTGTAACAAGTAGGAATCGGATCGTCATCACATTCAACAATACCTCGAATAATCAAAAAGGCATGGCCGATAGTTTGATTACTTTGTACGAGAACTTCTGTTGGTTGAAACCACGTACATCGTAGCTTCAAAACAGATTTCCAATGTTCTTTTTCGTTGTCAGATAACGAACGAAACAATCGTAACACGTTGAAAGCATTTTCAATAATCTTATTTTGACCCGGTGGCATTTGAATACGGCCATATTCCAGTACGAATGATTTACTTTCAATTAACTTGAGAATATGAGAATATTCATTGTCAGCAAGAATGCCAGTTTCGTAAAGTTGAATGATTGCAACTGATTCGTACTTGAGAAGCATTTGAGCACACCGTTTAGTCATTTGAATTACCCAACAGAGAGGATAGGATTGCTTCAACTCGAGAAGAATGTTCATAGCATCTCGTTCACATGTATCAACTTCTCGTAATAATTCGTCGTGTATTTCTCTATCGATGTATATCAGTTCGGGAAATTTAACTAAAATATTCTGCATACGAGTTTTTGCTGAATGGAAACCTGAAAAAAAAACAGTAAGATAACGTGCATTTTTCAAATCAAAGACTTACTTAGAGTTAGTTCAATGGTTAAGAATATGTGATCGAATAATAGTTTATTCTTCCATCGATTAATTATGTCAAACCGTTCGAATTTTAGTAATTTCATCAATAAAATCGACAAGCGAAAGTACTCAACAATCAATTTCCAATGAACTTTGATGGAATACTTTTGTTTTGCTTGTTCAACTGATTCAGTTAGGATATCCAATGTCCGTCGACGGATCATTCCGAGGTACCATTGTTTTTCATAATCTATAGATCTTGCTGTTAGAAAACGTGTTATTATCTCTTTTCGAATATCATCACGATCTTCTTCATTTGTATCAGTTGGATTGATTACAGGAAGGATGTTCGGTTCTTCTAATGAACGGTTCGGCATGGAATTTAGTTGATAAATTGTCGGTACACGTTTCAAATTCCCTTCCGTCGTTATCGGTGGTGGTCGAGAAATTTCTTCGGTTTGCACTGGAAAATTTAGATTACTATGACATGAGAGATCTCGCCGAAGAGTAGTGTTCTGTTCTTGATCCAATTCTTCCAAGAGTTTATCCGGTAGATAATCACTGAGCATTTTCCAATCAACATCAGCAAATTTTTCATCCTGTTTCATATTGGTTAGTTGTTGTAAAGTCTGTCGGCGCATATGTTCAAGTGCTTGTACTAAAATAATTTGACTTCCTTTCGTACCTAAAATCAAGACGTTTTTTTTCCATTATCAATATTAGAAGAAGACAAACAAACCGCGATTCAAGCCTAAAATTCTCACAAGAAACTTGCTACTTGTTCCATTGACAACCAGCGTGAGAAGTACGATGATTGATGCATGAAATAGAAAACGATCACGTGTTTGAAGATCGATCCTTGCATCCAAGAACACAATGAGGACTAGAATAAGTGCCATACTTCCTCGAAGATTACTCCATATAAGAATGATACAATCTTTCCACGATAGATGCACACCGGTGTGTCGCATCAATGGATAGAGAACAGCAATAGTCAAAGCTCGTGCGATGAGAATTACAAGATATAAGACAATGGAAAATCCAAAATCTCGACCAGAAATAGTTGCAACTGTGCCCAGAAACGATTTAGCTAAAATAATACCAGTAATCGTGAATATTAAGATATTAATTATATAAATAACCATTCGCCATGCACTAGCCAATGGAATTTGCACTTTGCTGCTAATACAATATTTATATTTTGCCATATACAAACCCATTGCACCTAAGGCAAGAGCGCCAGAAATGCCAAGTTCAACATCTGCAACATAAAAGATTAAATAGGCAACTCCGAATGTAATCGTAATTTCCACATTGAGTTTGTTATAAATTCGATTTAAAATAAATACACAAATAATACCACAAGCAAATCCGAAAGCAGGTCCACCTGAAAAAGAACTCGCTTATAAAATAAGAAAACCAATCAACAACATCATACCAATACTATATTTGATAATATCTATTATGATAATTTTCGCACTATGATCACCGCCGACAACAATATTTTTAAAAGTCAGAAAGGCAACAAACGTTGAACCGTCGCTCAATATCGATTCTGACTCGACTAACGAAGTCAATAACTTGCTTGCATCTGAATCTTGTAATAGTGGAATTACTGCAATCGCATCCTTTGCACTCAATATACTCCCAAATAGAAAACCTTCGAGCCATGACCAATCATAAGGAAATATGTAGATACTACAGATCGCGACGATAAATATAGATATGAACACGCCGGGACCGGCTAGCAGAATAGCGGACAGGAGCTGTTGTTTCACAATATGAAAATGACAATTAAATGCTGAATGAAATATAAGTGCCGGTAAAAAGATATAAAAGAGCAGATGAGGATTAATTTCACTCAGTTCAATTTCACCAGCTAGAAAATCGTTAGGATTGCCCTTGATATGATGTGCAATGACACCGATAATAAGTCCCAAGATAAGTACAACAACTGTAAATGGAATGGGCAATCGATTTTTCAAGAGTTTACATACGATGACTTCATAAGTACATGCTGCTAAAACGGAATACGATAAAAAGAGAATAACAGTACCATGACTTTCTTCGCTGTCATGATTATCGATTGTCGTAGAATTGTCTGTTATAGTCATCAAGTGAATATTTACATTATCTTATCTTCATCATAGGTATATTGATAACGGGAATTTAACAGTGAGAGCGATCATCCATGACGTGATCATATTCAAAATCGTGCATAAGAACAGACAACATAGGTGCACAGTATTACAATACGTAATACTATCTTCCACGTGCGTTAGAAAAGGTTTATAACACGCCGTGAGTCATCAATCTTATTTCGTTGTCATATAAAGCAAAAAACGTAATTACTTGTTTGAAAAGAACATTATCTAATATTTACAACTGCAAAGTATCTTGGCAAGTATGAATTCAATTCCAAACGCTTTCCGAGATTAGGCTGCTATGAATTTCATGAGTGCAATATGTTTCATTTATTGGGTTTCCGAAACAAAATCCTAAACGATCGACTTTGCAAGAGTCGAGACATTAACTGAATGTAATGGAAGAAAAACAGTTCATAGTCATTATTAGATTCGTCCATTTTTTATATCCATAAACCATTTCTCCAGTGATGGATGTTCGGAAAAATCAATCGTCAAATTTCTGCCAAGTTTTTTCCATAATGTTGCATATTGATCGAAATGCCGTACAATAATACCAAAATTTCCTTCACCAACGGTGTATTCTATCATTGGTACACAACATGTGTTACGCTCCTTCGATTCGGTATCGTCTATATACTGAATTGTATATTCCCCATATGGAAGTGGATAACCAAGTGCACGTCCAATATCGATCATGTTGATAGATGATGAACTGGCTGTAAAAATTTGCTTTACAAGTGAATACCGTTCGTGTTTCTAAACACGTCAACGAATAGACCTTCGGCGAGACAAATAGTTGTGCTTACTTTATTTGCAAAGATCCAACCGCCTTTGTAATCTTCTGTGAGTGGTGGTTTCAATTTCCATAATTCGAATCCTTCTTTTTCGAGTTGAAACTCGTCGAATATTGGTTTTAATGCCTTGTCAACGAGACCTGTTGCATAGTCGTGCATGACATAATGTGCTAAAAGAGTACACGGTTTGATACCGAACAATGTAGCAAGGATTTCGCCATCTAAAGTATAGATAACAAATAGAGTTTGCTCTTAAGGAATACTTACATTCCAACAAATGAAATGGATTATAATTTTTTAATCGACCATGGGGACTGAGAAGTTTCTTCTTGTCATCTGATAATGATTGGAAATAATCCCATTCTAACGATTTGAATTTCTGAAATGCTTTTATCTTGAAATCGACTGTATCACCGTTAGCCATCTGACTTGTTTTTCTTGTTCTATGACTGACTTTGTATCGTACAAATGAATTAATGAGAAAGTATCTCGCGCCTTATTTGTAGATTGAACGTTGTGTTCAAGAATTATTGAAACAATAGACGATCTATACAAAACGAAATACTGATTGGATTCGTCGAGAGTTGCGTATAGATAAACTATACTTGTCCTAAAAGATGGCGCCGTCGTATATCATGAACGCAAGAATTGGGAATTTTTCTTATGTATTGATTCTCGCCATCGCAATCAATATCGTTGCATCCAGTAAAAAGAGGACGAGCCGATCGAGTTGTAGTGTCGCCACGCGAAGCTGCTCTTTTTAAATCATGAGAAGCATAGATTGTAAAACAAGTGTATATTGTGTAATATTCCTTTGATGGATTTGAGTTAGTGTTTCGAGATAGAGATCTTTCACTGATTTCAACAGTAAAAAAACAGGCTCCGATTAATTAGTTGGTTGAAGGCATTGTCAAATATGTTCATACTAAGTATATCCACCAGACAAACTAGTTTATCGACTGTGATACAAATATTCTCATAAGGTTGACATCAACATGAACATATTTACTGTACCTAATGGTGTTTACAAGTTGGATTTTTGCAGTATTCTTTTATTGTGTCCAGCACTTTTCCACACCTTCAATTAATGGCGACTTCTATTTTAAGCATGCTAGTTTCACTGTGAGAGATTATTTTTGACCTGAAACTGTCCTATATTTTCAGCTATTAACACAAATACCTTTGTTCGAAGTTATAAAAAGTACTGCAATTGTTTACAGGTAGGTGTCGATAAGATGTCGATATTCTTCACAAAGATAGCAGAGAGAAACGTCTTACCATTCATTTCTCGTGTTTTGCAACGAAGAGAAGCAAAACTGCAATGTTCGCGTCGTTGCTATTACTGGTGCTATCATTTCATTTCGTAGGAGGTAGGCAACAACATTGCTATTGTCCAAGTTCTTTTAAATAATTAATCGTCGTACGTAGGAAGCGCCTTTGAACCCACACTAAATTGTAGTCAATACTCCGATGACCGTCATGTGCTGAATTCGCTTCCATTTAAGGTTACCATATTGGATAATTCTTCTTCATGTCAGCAAAATTCTGCCTGTGCCCGTCTCAATGCACAAAACCAAGTGTATGACTTGGCACTCCACCTTGTTCCAACAGCATTACAAGTCTATTGCCTCACTCATTTACAGTCCCTTTATATTTTCGGTTATATAACATCGGGTTATTCATGGCCTATTCCTTATGAAATCGGCAAACTTACCAATTTAACGTATCTTTCATTATCGTATGTTGACGGTAAAGACATTCCGGAGACAATTGGTGAACTAAAATTGTTACGCACTCTGTATTTACTTGCGACCGAAATTACATACATAACAGGAGCTCTAGCTGCTTTGCCTAATTTAACAGACCTGACTCTCCACGCACCTTTAGTTGAGCTGCCGTCCTTTCTGAGCATTCTTCCTTTGAATCATTTGGGCCTCCTCAATGGGAGATTTACTACAATACCGGAAGATTTCTTTCGAAATTTAAATCCGACTTTGTCATCTTTAACAATTGATATTTCAAATTCAGTCAACTTAGATCCGTTTGCAGACTTAACGAACTTAACCACTCTTGGTATCAATGTTGACGGTATGTCGGTTCTACCTTGGCAATTCACCTACATGACAAACCTGAAAGACTTGAGATTTCAAGGATCGAACTGTCTGTCGGCTTTTCCACGAAATTTTACCAGAGGTGTCACCTACCTCGATCTCAGCAAAAATTGCTTCGCTCAAGTCCCCGCACCACTCCTACTGAGCGAAACTTTGGCTAATATAGACATGTCCTACAACCAACTTACAGATTTGTCGACACTTGCCTTGTCACGATCGCCTTTGAGTGTAGTATTTCTTCCATTTAATCAAATTCAGTACATTCCTCCTGAAATTATCAATCTTAGCGAATCACTTAGCTATCTTGCTTTACATGGCAATCAGCTGACGACTTTGCCAGCAGAGCAAATAGTGAAAATGAAGAAATTGACTGGTCTGGATGTCCAATATAACAATATCAATGATACGGAAAAAGCGCGTTTGAAATCGATTTTTGCCGCAAATCCTAAACTGGCAGTTTATTTTTGAGTGCATCAATTAAAATGATTCTTTTTCTATCTTTATTTGACCTTTGCAATAAATTGTAGTCGTGTCCGATTTCTGTTGTTTGTCAAAATATAATCACACAAATCATCAATGAACATGTGGAGATGTTCAACAGAATAGCTTTTATGTTTCAAACAGTATTTGACTACAGAAAAAAGATCATCAAGCGTTCGGACTTGATCTAGACTTTGGTTATTCTCACTGTTGGAATAAGTATTTTCGACCGTATATTGAGTTTCTTCATCATTGATAGTTTCAACGGGTCAGTAAATTTGAAAACGGTAAGCATTGTGAATAAGAATGATCCAACCGCAAATGTAAACAGTATCCGAAAATAATACACCGGGAGAGCGGTGAAAAACGACAAAATAAAGAAGATTGTATATGGAATACAGATCGGGACGAGAACGGTTATTGTGATAACTATCTGTCGGATCATTTTCAATTCGCGTTGAATACGAAATAAAACATTCGCCGGTGTCACACGTTGGTTCATCATCTTAACATAACGAATCAGTTTCAGATAAATAAACATCACCAATGAGAGTGGAATCGAATAGACACACAGTGAGAGAAAAATTAATGCAAAAGAAAGTCGAAGAGGAACGTCACAAACATCAATATCAGCAATGTAACCGATGTCGCCATTAAACATAAAAGCCATGGGAAATGTCAATCCATAGAGCCACGTGAGAACGATAAGGAGAAATTGACTTCTTAATGAGAGCCAAGTGACATGTTTCGGATAGAAAACAATCAAATATCGATAAACGGCTTGAAGAAGAAATGAACAGATAACGATAGCACAGAAAGCATATCGAAGATAAGCTTGAAAGATACACGAGCGATCCTGATGTTGAGTCGTTTGAAGATCATTTTGTAATCGAAGTATGCTGATCCAAAACATATTACTTGCATGTAACACTCCAATGACGCAGGAATTTGCTACGAATAACATCGGAACGGTATGGCATGTTTTATCAAAGATGATGATTGATAAAAATAGTAATGACAATACAATGACCAAAATCAGACAGACGATATTGAAAATATCCAGTGGAATATGCCAGAATTCGATACTGAAGGTGGTATTTGAAAGAAAAACTAGATCGATTGTTGAATTCATTTTTCTTTTAGGAAATGGCAGCTGAAGAAAAATCTGGTCTACTTTTCCAATATTTATGTTAAAACATCTTTGAGTAGAAGAAGTACTTTTGATAAATAATGACGTTATAATAAAACACTCCATCTGACAACAGTGTATTTCAATAAAGAAAAGCAAATAATTGTTTTCAGTGGAAATAAGCTCTTGATTGAATTACATTTCAAATATGTTAAGCATCATTTCCAATTCTTTCCGTTATTGACGAGAATCTAAGATTCATGACAATCAACATTTCTTCAAGAAACTTGACAAGATACTTGAAACATTATTATTTTATCTGATTTTTTCCGGTTAAAAGAAAATAAATCAACACAAACAAAGAGTAGAAGTAAACTAGGAGAGTATCAAAAAATATTCTTTTAAATCACAAAGTGAGAGTGAGGCTTTGATCCTCAATATTAGTGGAAGATGGGCGTGAGTGCATGTTTGAATACAAGACGTTCATGCCCATACCTTCCCAAAGAGACATGGTAATATTACATCATAAAATCGATTGTATATGAGTAATGTGTGCGGTCGTTGATTACGAAATCAATACCGCCTATCTCTAATGATATATGCATCGAAAAGGAAGCAAAAGACACCTATAAAATGAGTAGTTAACGAAAATGTTGATGGGATTGTTAGCATGTGCATCAGTGATTTTCGTCGTCACGGAACATATACAGAATCATATCATTTGCAAAATATGAAAGTATTCTGTTTTCAATAGGTATATAATTATCGTCACATTAATGAGAATTCGAAGCTGAGAAGCGATTGCCGTCTTCTTTTTGACGAATTTAATCACATCTAATTGCGCTTTTCCTCATGTTAATCAAAAGTATTACATTATTGCTTGAAGATAGCCTCTATCAGTCGTAATTATCGTATTTGTATATGATTTTGATTTAAACATGCAGTTAGGTACTGCCCCCAACGAAAATTTCGATTCATTATTCTATATTCTTTTCGTCGAACGTGCTATGTAATAACGGCCTTTTCTTGGAATTTATTGGTCGATTAATTCTTGTTCTTGCCCATCTATGCGTACGTTATTTTAGGTGTGGTGGTCGCGACATGTGGTGCATTAACGATTATTTGCGTATCGATAGTATTCGTGAAACAATTGAATGAAAGACGTTGGAATATAAGATATCCACAAGAGCAACGATCGAATCTTCCCCTTTGGACTATAGGAGATACTCCCACTTCCGAGGGATTCGTGTCTGACATAGAAATGCTCATATTTACATTCATGGATTCTCTTCAGTATTAAATAAATGCCGTAGTGGTTCGGCACGTTCATTTGAATGTTTTATGAATTAGACATTGTGCAATCAGACGTCATCAGTGTACCAATTCTGTCTTGTTGAATATTTTCAATATAGATATTACTATTCATAGTCATACATGATGTGTAAATAGTGCTTGATCTACTAGATATAGTTTTTTTGTTGAACTGCGGATTTTATGAGAGCACTGCTGTAAATCAAGAGCAACGCTCAAGTTTTACCGACTTTTTATTATTCGTTGGCTTCAGACATTTTTACCTAATAATATCTATCTTCAAGTCATCTCATCGAGCTTCGTTCATATTTATCCAGTTTTATCTATTGCACAAATGGCTCTTCTTATATCACCCTCACCCTCAATTTATTTCGGAAAGTTTTGCATTAATATCGTTTTTAATTATTCATTCATAATAAGAACAATATTATCGATAGCACCGTTATCATACGTGCCACCCGAGCGAGTAAATTTAACAAAAACTTCAAACGAGCGAGTGCCACTTGGTACAAGTCCATTCGCTTGTCGAAAAAGCAGTGAGGTCACATTACCACGATCTGCAGCTCGTACTGGTCCAATAGTCGTCGTATTTCCGACCATTTGATTTGATTGATTGAAAAACCTTAGTGAAGCTTCAACAACGTCATCTTGATTACCAGCGCCGCCAATCCACGCTGAAAAATTGAACCGAACTGTTTGGGCATCAATCAATGAACAGAAATAACTTGTGAAATTTTGCTTTTGCCACATCGCTGTCGTGGGACTAGCCTGACCATAGAAATGACAACTACCACGATCACTAGGAAAGTAAAAGTTTCATCAGATAATTTATCCAACTTTATGTCTCACCTCGGTCCTGGTTCTGTAGATCTGTGAGTTGAGTATGTGTTATTATAGTATGCTTGAGTAACTGTTCCATTATGATTCCAATCAGTTGGACTTACAACACTACTATCTGATGCACATGGACCCGTTTCTGCATCACCATTCATGATCCAGTTTCTTTCGCTTACTAGAAACAAAGTTGTGTGAGAAAAAACAACAACATTGTATTGATGATAGTTACTAGCTGATAATTGTCGATTATCAATTGCAGTCATAGTTACAACATTTTCATTTGTTATCATTTGACCATATTGTCGAACAATATCAATGAATAGGTCACATTGATGATTTGATTGATCAAAAGTCGCTGTCCGACAATCTTTATTAATTAAACAAGCTGATTGGCAAGCTTGCATAGTTGAAGTCGAAGTAACTGTAATTGGTGAACATTGCGGATCAACACATCGATACTGTGTATTATCAATAATTGATAATATTATCATACGTATATTCTGTGCAATTGACTGATTAATAATAATCAACAGAAATAAGAAAATCAAGAATTTCATATTCAAATTGGAAGAAAAGACCACTGTTGAATGTTTTCTAGTCAGTTTTCTCTTTGCTTCCAAGATATTTGAAAAAGAAAAGGAAATTGGTTCGCACTTCACAGAAAGATTTTTAAGATAAAACTAAAAAAAGGTATTTAAGTGGTTCCGCTCATCTAGAAATTATCTAGCGGACATATTTATCAAAGAGCGTAATATTGTCGTCATAAAAGCTCTTACATGATTCAAGTATTTAGTTCTTCAACCAAACAGCCTTTCATCACATTCTAAAATAACCATGAACTTATCTCTAAAGACGACACACACACTACCGACAACATTAATGCACCATAAAATGTTAATGGAAGAAAAAGATAACAACTATCTATTAGGGAACACATGTATCCGTTGATATGACGAACGAGTTGATTACGATAGTGAATGAATCCACATTTTCATAGTAAAAAAACTTTCTTACTTCTTCAATTCGGTTTGTATAGATCGAGAGAAGTTGATAGATTTTCAACTGAATAACCTTTCATTAGATTCTCTTTAACCATGAACATAAAATAAAGATGACATTTAAAAACGAACTTCTGGACTGAATTATGGAATAATCATGTTGAAGGTGAGAGTATGGACGTTTATAAATCGTTGTTACTCACTCACATCAGCCTATCTTTCAGCTGCGTTTGACAGCATATCTTTGCACTCGATTATTGAAGAGATCTACGACATAAAGATTTTCTTGTCCATCAATGGATAAACCAAATGGATAGCTGAGCTGATTCGCATATTGTCCCCTTCCGTTGCCACCAACAACGATACTTCCTTCTTTGGCGCCTTTAGGCCAACACATTACCCGGTGATTGTCAGAATCAGTCACATATACAGTTTCATATTGATCGACTATGATTCCATAAGGCTTGGACAGTTGTGATAAAGAACTACCCTTTCCATGGCCACCAGCGACAACAATTCCTTGTTTCGCATCTTTTAGCCATTTTACCACGCGATAATTCTCTCTGTCTGACACATATACTGATTGTTCTTTATCAACGAAGAAGTATACGGGAACTTTGAGTTGGTTCAACTGACTTCCTCTGCCATTCCCACCAGCTACCACTGTTCCTCGAGTATCATTTATTCCGTATCGTCTCACTTCATTGCGCACAACGTCGGACACATAAAGATATCCTAGTTCATCCATGACTAATCTGCAACAGTCAATATTAGACATGAGTATTTGTCCATTCGTATTATTTTGACGAGACCATCTCATTATTCTTCTGTTGCCTCCATCAGAAACAATGATATCATTCGTCATTTTATCAATAAGTACATCAGCTGGATCCTTTAACTGATTTAATTTCTTGCCTGATCCATTTCCACCGGCAACTACTTGAACATGGGTTCCATCATGTTTGACTTCTAAAATACGGTGATTACTAACATCAGCAACATAGAGCGTTTGATCATCATCGATATAGACCGTAGTGGGCCATCTAAGTTGATTAAGTCTATTACCTCTTCCGTTCCCACCAACTATAGTAAAACCATTTTGTATCCAGGTTGTAATTATTTGACTATCAAGTGAGAATGGTCCCGTGATCTTGTGCATATCAGTCGCAATTGCTAATGATAAATTCTCATTGTTGTCACCAATTTCAATCAAATGTACAATGTATGAATTGTTTGATTGTTTAAATGGGTTGCTCTTCACACGAAATTTTGTTCCCATTCGTAGAATAACCTCCTCCTCGTTCTCATATTGCGTATAGCCCGATATTTTCTTCCCGTGGCGAGCTTCAATTAAGAAAACAGTTGCGTTTTCATGACCTTCAAGGAAACTTTTGATGACGTTCACTGACGACGAGCACGAACTCACACTCCACCATGTTACAACCTGATCTTTGGTAAAATTACTACCGATGTCAAGAGGTACACCCCGCCAGAGTATTTCTTTCACTGTAGGTAATTTGCTCAATGCTGAATCAAATAGTTTTAAATATGGAAACCACATCTTCACTGTTTCACTGTTTTCTGATCGCAATGCTTCGTTTAGCATGGCGTATAAGTTATCCGTTTTCCAGTCCATAGTATATATATAGATAGCAGTGGATTCATCTTGTGATAATCCATGATCTGATGGGAAACGACAATGAGTTTTAGCTGTTTTGATGTAAGATGGCAAGTTAGCAATGAGGGACTCGATAGATTGAAGAGACTGTTCAATTGGAACGAAAGGTTCACTCTGAAAATCTTCGAGAGGAGCCAGTCGTTTAGATTCAGTGTCAACATCACCAAAACGATTCATGAAGAAATGTAAATATAAACTTTTTCTGCGCACTAACAACAAGAAAAGACTCGATAAGTGTGATAAGAATCAAGTCGATGTGAATAAACACCTGCGAGCTGAGATAATTTCTTTTTCTTTATCTATAACCGTAAGTTTCTTCATCATGAGACGATTGTTTAACGCTTTACTGACAAGTTTTTTGTGCGCTCCGAAAGGAGTAGCTGCCTAATTCGACTTATAATATAAGTGCCCAATTCCTACCACCCTTAGGAATAGAAATAGATTTAGTTTTACTTATACAAACATACCCCACCCCCCTGTGAGTTTAGGAATAGAAATAGATTTAGTTTTACTCATACATACATACCCTCCCTCAGCCTCGCCCACACCCACACCCACACCCCACCCTCACCCACCGCGGCACCCTCAATCGAGATATACCCCCGGGTGTGAGTGTGTATATGTATAAGTAAAACTAAATCTATTTCTATTCCTAAACTCACAGGGGTGTGGGGTATGTTTGTATAAGTAAAACTAAATCTATTTCTATTCCTAAACTCACAGGGGGGTGGGGTATGTTTGTATAAGTAAAACTAAATCTATTTCTATTCCTAAACTCACTGGGGTGGGGGTATGTATGTATGAGTAAAACTAAATCTATTTCTATTCCTAAACTCACTGGGCTGTGGGGGTATGTACGTATAAGTAAAACTAAATCTATTCCTAAAACTATTTCTATTGGTATGCATTTATATTCGAATAGATATTAGTCTGTTGAAGGCCCATTTATAATATAAGTCGAATTAGGCAACTCATGTCCGAAAGTGCGTATTCGATAGAATTGGTGGCTGTCTCCATTCCGTTCATTCACATATTGACTCTTAACAGACTAGTTTAACCCCGCGGATTTTTTACATCTTGCTCGGGTTCGAAAACAAGTTCAGTCCTTGGAACAGCTAATATCACATCGCTGGAACGCATATCTGGACAAATAATTCCTATGGAGACTCAAATGGAATGTTAAGATATCTTGCTTCGAGCTCTGTTAGAAAAGTGTTTCGAGAGGATTGGAGAGCTCTCACAAGCGATTCCGGTGCTAACTTCCATTACATCAGATTAAATTTAATACAAAAAGTAGTAGAGAAATTTAAAATGACAGGAACTTGGATTTCTATGGTTTATTTCGAAATTGTACGAATATTCGAATATGTATGAGGGACAACGGTTACAAACTTCGTATCTCTTTGTGTTTAGCCACAATCATGTTTCATGACACAATGAAACAAAGTTATTGTTCAAGATTTGCTAAGGCAATCTCTTCTTCAAATGATAATATGTTTTCAGGTCAGGTATCTTTTCGTGATTTTGGATGGATTTCCGTTTATGATCTACGAGTCAATATTCATTACTGTGTACATTTCAGAAAAGTAATTGTAATTAAAAATCTGCTGTTTTTCATCCATTTAAATTAGTATATTTACTTATTGGAAATGGCGTGGTTTTTTTTGTCATTGGTGGATGTATTGCTTTTCGAAAGAGATTAATGACGTAGCACTGAGTCTGATCTATAGTCTGGGTGAAGTGGCTGATGATTGTCTTAACACACTTGTATCTAGTGGCGTATCAAGGATTCGACCGATGGCCTGGCAATGCCTTACAAAAATGTTATAAACTTACTATACCACTTGACAATTATCTGATGGTTCAAAATCAATAGTTTTTGTTTTAGGAAAAAATTAATTTAGTACGAAACGAACTCATTAAAAGACACCATCTTGAGGGTCTTGGCTATTGAGCGTGACATTCTAATAGATTATGAACAGGTGGTAGATATATTCGCACGTAATCATAAGAACAGCAGAATGTTGTTATGTTAGGATTATCTTAAACGTTTGAAAATAAATAATCAAGCTCTTTTGATTTATACGCGTACATTGTTTATTTACTATAGAAAAAATCTCTTTGATGAGCTGAAGAGTTCTACACAGGTTTGAATAGCGTTTTCAGCGTGTAAAAATTTAATAATGCTGAGTCCACCCTATCCTAAATTCTTGGCGCCGCCGCTAGCTGAAACGAAACGAACTTCTTAGAGATCTAAAATAAACAAGAGTTGAATACTTACGAATGCATTTGTTATTTATACAAACACCGCTGATACAGTCAGACGGAATATTACAAGTCTTCATATCCTGACATTTCTGACAAACGCCGCCGCCGCAATCGATGTCGGTCTCATTTCGGTTCCGAATTTGATCCCAACACGAAAGCGATGCTGAAATAACACAAAATCGTGTTGTATGAAAGGACAAGACGGTGTAATACTTACGAGTACATATACTATTAATACACATACCACTGAGACAATCATTGGGGGAAGTGCATTTTTGCATATCTCGACATTTAGGACAATTGAAACCTCCACAATCAATGTCAGATTCATCTTGATTTTTCATTCGATCAGTACAACATGGATCTATAGGATATAGTATCACCTCAAAATATAAATCTCAATCTCAAACATACCCGTTTGTCTTGGTTTATGACTATCTTCTAAACTTAAAGAATCAATCTCTATTGTGATTCCACCTCTAATCACGACGAAGTAGGCAAAAGAGCAAAGCACCAACAAGATCAATGGTGTTGAACTATAAACAAGAAAAAAGAGAAAAGATATCGAACATAGTAGTAATCAAATCAAAACTTATTACCTGAACAGCATATTTTGAGCGACGATTGTCTATTGTGATTCAATCTAAAAAACAATTTCATCGAAAAAATCGTTCAATATTGAAGATATTTTGCAGTTCGATCTTCAATACTATCGTATCCACGACGAAGAAAAAGACTTTTTGTCTTTAACTCTTACATCTAATCACAGCATGTTTCACAAATACTCCAAAATTTATAGAGAATGTGATCTGACGGTGAATGTTTGGCTTACATTTTCGTAAAAAGATCAGCATTTTCGGCGATACTTTCTTTTTCGACGAGCACACACACAAACCGGCTCAACGCGTCCTGAAAAAAAACACTTTTTACCTACTTTCTCTTCCACACGAAATGCTCGTGAATCGAAAACCAGACAAGGAGCAATATTAGCCTAGAACTTTTGTGTATTTGTACAAGTTTGCGTAATCACCGTGAGTAATCCCAATTTTTTACTACATATAAATATCTTTGACGAAAATAGAACTGATATTACAATTTTCTCCGTTGTTTTTATCCACCAAACAAAACATCTAGATACATTCGGCGAAAGAAACATTCACCTTTGTTTTTTCTCCTCTGGCGTCAATGAGTTTCTTTTGCGACGAATACTTCTACGGTTACTTTCTTTTTCGTACGCACAGAACAAACTTAAAAACATCTATTCGACATCATATTTAAAGGCAAATTAAGAATTCTTGTCTCTTCGATTTTACTAATCATCCATTGTTTGTTCATATTCATTACACTTCTTTGTCTATTTAAAATTTACTAATTAACGTTGACATGTTATTTTCTTGCTAAAACGAACCTTCATATAAGATGAGAGAAAGTATCTGATTGTAGATAGATAATAAAGATGGAGGTGGTATTTACACTTCATTCCAACCCACACTTTCTCACTGGAAAATTTCTCTGAAGTCAAATTAAAGTTACGTGTTCCTCTTTCCTATTGTTTCCCATATAACATTCATATCCTCGTAATGCTTCCTTTCCGACGACACCTACTTGCAACAAAGGTAGACGGTAGAATAAAACAATTCTTCGTTTCAACTGTGATATCCTTTCAACGATATTCTCCTCCACATCTCGATTTATCAAACGAACTTCGATCATTCGTTCATATCTTTAACGTTTTCGCGTATGGCATGTGTTGGTTTTCGGATATGAACATTCTGTTCTCATTTTAAAATATATCATTGAAATGGATATTTCGTAGGTGTATCTTCACACATATCAACAAAAAGAATAACATACTCTGATATCTACTATATAAATGAAAGTTTTTTCCATAAAAAACTACCGTTTCGGTAATTGTAAAGGTAAATATTGTTTAGAAAAGAATTGATGTGAAGAGAGATCGATGATGAACATGAAAGATTGCTGAACAAAGAGAAATTGTTCGATTCAAATCCATCACGTCTCGAATAGTGTGAATCTCGTTGGAATCGTCGTTTTCATTTATTATTCTGGTGGTGGATTAAACCTATTCTTTCAATTGGTTCCAAACAATTATTAACACTTGATGATCTCGATCATTTACTTTTCTTGGACAATAGTTCACATTTTTTAACTCGATTTCAATCGTATAATTGAAAAAATTCATCAATAATACAAATTCTACTTAAAGAATTCGGAAAAGAATATCTCATTGCTGGTTTATTTCATCTTCCATCATTATTTTTATAAATAAGTTTACCATTACTCATTCGACAGATGATTCATGACGTTTTATATCACGATAAACCATCTATTTCTATACAATTCTCTTGTTTATTTGTTCATTAATAAGTTCGATATGTTATCGTCAAGCTGATTTTCATTCACTTCGTATTGGAATGCGAATACAATACATCATGGATTTATTTCGTTTATTTACAAGAAATCTTTAACAATCAAATCGATCACTTGGCAACGAATGAATCTCTGCTTTATGATTCATTTAATTGTTAATGATACACAAAAATTAGACGATGTATTCCCTTTTGGACATACAATATGAAAAGGGCCTTTAGGATCATTAATCATCTTTATTATTCTTTCGTTAATCATAGAACCTATTCCGATATTAGTTGGATATTCAGTTATTCTTCTAGTCGTTTTGATTCAATTGATTATTGCTTTATAAAATAAAAACATCATTCTATAGCGATAAACGTGTGAATTCATTCAATGAAATGATTTCTGAAAGAAAGAGTTATAGGTGCGTTAAAAGTCTGTTTGTCCAAGCCAGTCAGAAATGAAGATTTCGTAAGTAATCGAGGTCGGAGAATTCGAATCTGCTATTAGCTTATAAGGTTTCAATTAGCTAGCTACTAACTAAGGAATGGAAAATTTTCTTGAGGGTGAGGGTGTGCGGGTGTCAGAATGGATGACATCACTGATCGAAGCTGACGCTTACATCGCCGCACACTCCCCTTCATCTTCATCCAAAACCAGTTCAAAACAAAACTTTTTTATATTCAAGAGCTAGTTCTGCCCGTTTCGACAATTATTAGACAAGTTCCTACATGTCTTCTGTATTTTCTTCTTTTCAAACTTGATCTTTCGAATTAACTGTCAGCTGAAGAATATCGATATTTTCAAGATAAATTATTCAAAGTTATAGTAGATGCATAGTCATTGTACAATCCATATTTACAAAAGATAAAACGCAATATTGTGCTTTGTGCTGCATCATTACATTCAAGCTGCGACATTTTTTTAATCATTCTTGAATGCTATTTCAAAAACATCTTATCTTTGCATGATGCGATGGTTAGTCACAGGTCTTTTTTGCGCATATAAGAGTATACTTCTTGCCTTGTGTCATTTTAAGTTGCATCTTGATAATAGAGAGACCTAAACAAACACACAGCAATGAAAATTATCTATGTTTTTTGCCTTCTTTTTATTGGAACGTATTGTGCATCGATTTTCGATGAAGAATTGAACAACTCTTGGAAGTTATTTAAACGTACGCACAAGAAAGAGTACGCAACGATCACAGAAGAAACTGCTCGGTAAAGAAATAGTATATTTTGTCTTTATTTTCAATACAATTCTTTTCTTTCACATGCATGCGAACAGGCAAACAATCTGGGAGAAGAATGTTGCCAAAATTCGTAAGCACAATCTTGAACATGATCTCGGTCTTCACACTTACACTATGAAGATGAATCGTTTCGGTGATTTGGTAAGCTTTTCATACTAGTCAAGGTTGTCAGATGAAGATAGGTCTCTTCTACTTGCAGACTCACGAAGAGTTCAAGAAAAGTATGAACGGGTTCAAGATAAACGCCAATGTTGACAACAATAAATACGACCGACACATGTTTTTGGCACCTTCTAATCTTGTCATTCCTGATGAAGTTGGTATGTTGTTCTCATTTAAAGATTGTTCTTTTAATAGAAAAATTCGATTGATTAATAGATTGGCGCAAAGAAGGTTATGTCACTGGAGTGAAAGATCAAGGACAATGCGGTTCATGTTGGGCTTTCTCGGCCACTGGCTCACTCGAAGGGCAACATTTTGCCCAAACGAAACAACTTGTTTCTCTCTCCGAACAACAATTAGTCGACTGTTCGACCAAATTCGGAAATGAAGGTTGTGGCGGTGGTCTAATGAACAATGCGTTCGAATATATCAAACAAAACAATGGAATTGATACCGAAAAAAGCTACCCCTACCAAGCTTACGATGGAAAATGTCGTTTCAAACCAGATGACATTGGTGCTACTGATGTTGTAAGTAGCATTTATTGAGACAAGAACGATCTCATGTCATTTTCGATTTGCACAGGGCTTTGCCTTTATCAAAGAAAAGAACGAAACTGATTTGACGCTTGCGATTGCTACAGTTGGACCTATCGCAGTTGCTATCGATGCCTCGCACGATTCATTTCAATTCTACGGTGGAGGTATTTACAATGAACCAGCATGTTCGTCATCGCCAGATGCTCTCGACCACGGTGTATTAGCTGTTGGCTATGGTAACGATGGTGGAAAGCATCCAACAGACTTCTATATTGTCAAAAACTCATGGGGCACAGGATGGGGTGATCATGGTTACCTTAAAATGATGCGCAACTATGGCAATCAATGTGGTATAGCCACTATGGCCAGCTACCCACTAGTATAAATTTATGAGCTTTGAAAATACACATTTTTTAAAATTGTTCTTCTAATTATGCTTCAAAATGAATTGTTATGCGGCGTGAATCAAACACTTTTTATTTTTTTCTTCAATGGAGTTTTTTTGCCTAAGAATCATAACGTAATTATTAGGTTGACAAGAAATTTTTTCCGTTTTGTTTTTCTTAAATTCCGTTTGGGTCGCAAAGCAATGGAAGCAACGCGTAACATATGTAGAACCATAGGCAAGGATGCTCTCTCTATTCACACAGTGCAACATTGATTCCATCGGTTCAAGAATGGCAAATTCGAACTCGACGATTTACCTCATACCGGAAGACCATCAGAGGCGGACATGGATCATTTAAAGCAGCTTATCAAAGAAGATCCTAGGTTACCTACGCAATGTTTATCAGGGCAACATAGGTACTCTCATACTACAGTACAAACACATAAGTACGAATTGGGCTAAACGTGGAAATATGCAGTTCGGATACCGCATGATCTGTCACCACATCAGTTCCAACACAGAGGCGATACTTGTGTACAATTAATGACGTCTCACCGCAATCAACAATGGCTCGGCAATCCTATTACTGGCGATGAGAAAATGATCTTCACTCAAAGAAGATCATGTTGAGCATCTGGTGGGATGCCAAAGGGACTATTCATCGAGAAATTCTTCCAGCTGGCTGCACCATCACTGCTGACCTCTACGGCCAGCAATTAGACCGAGTTGCAGCAAAACTTCATGAAAAGCAGGATAACGTTTATTTTTTGCATGACAACGCCCGACCTCACGTTGCTAAGTCGATTCGTGAAAAATTATTGAAGCTTGGATGGTTTAAAATTCCACGTCCACCTTATTCTCCTGACTTGGCTCCAACAGATTACCATTTGTTTCGTTCTCTTTCTAATTATTTACGTGAGAAAAATTTCCACGACGAGAACGACCTCAAAACGGACCTAGCCAACTTCTTTGACCGAAAGTCTCAAGACTTTTACGAAACCAGGATCCTTTCTCTGCCCGAGCATTGGCGAAAAGTCATAGATAGTAATGGTGCATACATTGTTGAAACGTAGTTGTATGCTTGAAGTTAAAAAATAAAAAGAAATTTTTCTGAAAAAGCGCAAAAAATTTCTTGCCAATCCAATACAAGGAATGCATGTGATATCAAGCCATGATAAATTTAACGTCTAACGGCTCGAGAAGCGCATCAAGAATACACCAAAGCGTACTCAGGAATTATTCCAACCGTATCAACGTAATATTTCAAAACATTTTGTCATCTTCGCCCTCTTCAGTGTTACTATACTTCGCATCATAAGAGAAGCTGATCCAACTTTTCAATTTCACCATGAGATCACACCGCAGAGTATGTGACTCACTCCACAACTAAACACTGCTTGGATAACTCGAAAAACCGAAGTACATAGCACAGGGTACTGACTCGTATTTCGATCTACTGTATTCAATGAGAACAATAGCATCTACGTAATACGACAATGTTTTATTTAGAATAATATATTAAACATACTAAATTCACTTACATACAACATCAATATGCTACTGATTGTTCATTGAATAGGCTGTACGAGATTTTGCCGATACAAAAACAATTCTCGTACTAATTGGATTGGAATGGGTACGAGTAGTTTGAGTACAGTTATTAAACCGCCATACAGGCCGATTATCCGTGACAGTACATAGAATGGAGATTGTCGTTCATTTAATGTATACGTACATGAAACAGGTTTACATTGAATAAAGTAAGCATCGTACTGGACATTTGTTGCCCATGTCTCCACAAAAAGTGCATTGACCAACATTTGTACGGTTTGATTGGACATTGCTAGATCTGAATCAAGATAGGGAACGCTATAGTCAGTACTAACATTCATCAATAGGCTGACACATGTCTTATTATAGAGGCAGACTAATGTCGATTGTAGTAATGATTCAATCGGATAGCAGCCGATCAACATGCCCGGCACCGGTTGACCACCAGCTGCTGGGTCATCATCGTCATAATCATTATCAAAGATAATTGCGGGCTCTACACATGTCGCTTTCATACCGCAAGAGCAACTCTGATTAGCAAACGCTCGAGGTTTGCTATACAGCATCGCGTAGTTATCGTTAGTGTGCGATGTGACAAAAATCCAGTTTGTTAAGGGACCGGTGATAATTGCATTGCCTTGTGTCATACGACGAACAAAATCAAGTGTACGAATAAATGTTTTCGGTGTCGACAATTGAAATTGATCAATAAGCAATTTCGCTTGTTCATTCATGATCATACGTGCCTGTAGTCGAGTGTTTACAATAGTATCTGCTGCAAACAGTTCAAGTGCATCTTGCATCGTATCGTTCGCTAGCTGACAGAGCATGGCAAGAAGTTCGAAGTGAAACAGAGTCGAAGCACGATAGTCTCGATAGGTTTTATATACAGGTCCCGTGATGCTATACAAAGCTGATTGCCATGCAGTTGACACAAAGAAACTGGAGCACACTGGATGAATCTTTGGCACAATTGAAATGTATTCACCTTTCTATAAATGCTCTGTAGGAAAGGGTGCAGAAAATGCTTATAGAACTTACAGGCACACTGATATTCCGACATGGACAATCGAGAGTAGATCCATACTTTGCTTGAAGCTGCTCATAGGCATTTAATGATGGCTCTTGCACGGTAACATTTTGCAACTGAATACTTAGGCCATTGTAGGCAGCAAGAATACAGATGATAATGAGCAACATAATTATGTAGATACGAGTGGTTAATATTTGCGTGTGTCGGCGATGTTCATTGTGGACAGCGCGAACGTCTTCAAACAAATTAAGCCTCATCAAGTGTGTATAGAGTAAACGACATGCAAGACGAATACGTTGATGCCAAGGTGTATCTATAGTAGATAATAATATTGAGCCAAGAAATCAATAAAACTTGGTCTCATTCATCTGCTTTTTTCATTCTATATATAATAACGCATAAGGCAAGGAACGCTGATATTGTCATTTGAAAATCGTTTTATGTGCGTTTCATCTGAGAAAGTGTAACAGGAAATGGGCAGGTCTTCAGATTCAGCATTATGAAGCGAACTTGATTAGGCGCAAGAGATTCATATATTACTCGAAAACTGTCTTACGTGATTTCGTCGTTTTCAACTGCACGAAGATGTTGAAAACTCCACAAAATAAATTTTCCTGTAACTGCACGACGATAATATGAAATGTTTTGGAAGGATTCATCTTGAAAGCTGAGAGCCAAAGAAATATTCTTTTGCAGCAATATGTTACAATATTTTACATTATTTAATCATAAGCGGATATGTGCTACTTAGAATACAAATCTTTAAAAGTTTCTAAAGTGATTTTTAAATTTTGTTTTCAATTTTCAGATCGAGTTTCATAAGCAAGAAGGTATATTTCGACTTGTACATCTCGCCTTTAATATATATTTTTTTGAATGTCAATACGAAGCCAAATCAACTACTCAGATATGTTTTATCAAGGCCACAGCAAAAAGCCTTCAAAGTTGACGATAAAATGAACTTACCTAGCGGTGACTGCTGATCACGATGATATTTCTTATTTCGTATCCATCTAACTACAACCGGTACAAAGAGTCGCAAAACAGAACTCAGACCACCGAACAAAGAGATAAATGTAGTGATCACGTAAAGCCAGTTGTACCTTGATGAATAAGTATAGACACATAACGCAGGAGCACATTGTGCATAATATTGTGAGAATGAAGTTGATGAGGCCCATTTGTCGACCATGAGCATGTCGATCAATGTCTCAATGAGCGTTGTAGATGAAAATCTGGTTCCGTTGTAGCTGAGTGCAGACACATTAGTTAGTGATTGGGGCGAACGAATTTGATCTTGAATCGCATCCACACAAGTCTGATTGAAGTAACATTCAAGTGATGATTGAAGCACGGCTTCAGTTGCTAGACATCCGATAAACATCGATGGAAGAGCAAAAAGATAACCCAATGGATATAAACTGATCGCACTATCGAAAAGATAGAATCCCAAATTCGATTGACACTGATCGGTAAGAGCACATGAACATGAACTTCCATTGGAGGTTTTGAATAAGTTATTAGTAGCTGAATAAACGAGATATACGACCGTGCCGTTTGCATATTCTCGACGCAAAATCAATGGGCCACCATTCGTGGACGTCGTTGTCAATAGCTGATTGCCTTGAGCATGATAGCGAATGAGCTCAAGCGTTCTTTGAAAACTTTTCGGCGTGCTCAATATAAATTGATCAATGGCTAACTGAACTCGGGCAGTGAATTCACCTTGTGGCGGGAGAACTAACGATGTAATAATCGATGTTTCATTAAAATGGCGAATTGCGTCCATGACTGTGGCTTGAGCAAGCTCGCAGAAAGAGGCGAGTGTAGTAGAGAAATCTTGACCGCCTAGAATAAAGTCGTCCTGATAGTGACGAATATTGTCCGAACTACTTTGGTCAGCAGCGGTGATTGAATTAATCCATGGATCAGCTAGGAAAATACTGGAGCACACCGGATGATATGTAGGCGAAATCGAAATAAATGAGCTATATTTTATGCTGATATCCTCACAGGGACATTTAAGAGCTGTTGGGTATAGAGCTTGGAGTCGTTCGTATGTGTCTTGTGATGGATAGGGTACTGTCACTGAGCGAATTTGTACAGCGAACGTAGTGTAGAGAAAAAGAACGACAGTAAGAACGACGAGAAGAAAAATATATAAACGCGTGGCGATAATGTCACTGCGTTGTTCAAAGACGTCCGTACGTGATTCAATACCTTTAAAAAGATTCATCTGTAATATCTTTGCTCGCATCCATATTGGACTCATTCGAATATACTGAAGTAATGTAGATACTGCTGCTAAAAACAGAACGAATGTTGAGATATGCATCATAAGTTGATTACGTGGCATTCTAATTTAATTTCTATCAACCTCATGAGTCGAATAAGCGTAAAATAGGAAAATAATTGTAAAGTACAACTGAATGTAGAAAATTCATATGTTTGTAGGACTCTAACCTCATCGAGCTTTGTATGATACATGATGTATACACCTTTCATGTTATATGTTTATCATTTATTTCCCCATATCTTAAGAACGGTTGTAAAATACTCCAGATAAATACTTACGTCGTTCATCGTTGATTGGTATTGTTTCTGCTGTTGTGATAGGAGTCCGCCGTCGATCTCGCACACATTTGACCAAGCGTGGCACAATGAGACGTAAAACTACTGTGAGACCACCATAGAGTCCCAACACTGTTGTAGTTACATAGAGTATGTCGTTTCGTTTCGAGTACGAATATAAGCATGAGATCGGAGCACATTGTGCATAATATTGTGAAAATGATATGCGTGTTAACCATTGTTCAACGAATAGTTCATTCACAAGCATCTCAACTGTCGTCGATTCCGGGTCAAATCGCGTTTTCGTAGAATCGAGTGAAACAAAATTCGTGTTCGTCGAAACAAAAAATGATTGAACGATGTCGACACACATTTGGTTGAAGAGACATATGAGTCTTGCTTGCAAAAGGGATTCGAGAGCAAAGCAACCGACTACAAAGCCAGGTACGAAGGCGAGCACACGTGTCTCGGGTATATACAAGATACCATACATGTCTTCTCCAACAGCACTGAAGAAGCCTGACGTATTGATTGAGCATGTCGCTTGCGAGTGACACAAACACAACTTCGTACCATTTTGGTTCTTTAAACCATTAGCACTGACAGCAATATCCACTTCATCAGGTGATAGTTTTTCGAGAACGAGCGTAGCTGGTATTTGAAAAGCTGACTGCAAGTTGTTAGCTGCAGTAGTGCCTCGGATCAATCTCAATGTTCGAAGAAATTTGTTCTCAGTTGAAGTACGAAAGAACAAACTGGATACACTGCCTTGCACCTCGAGGTTCTGTGCGTTAATCAACTGGTCACTTAGCAGAGCCGTGTCGTCAAGCAAAGTATCAAGTTCATCAGCAATAGATGCATTGGCTAGTCCACATAGTGACTGAAGTACTTGAAACTGACCGCTTGCCGAAGCACGAAAGTCAACTGGATAGTAATCTCCTTGATCGGGTGAGAATAGCATGTCCACCCATCTATCGGATACGAATGAGCTTGAGCATACAGGATGATAAGTGACTGAAATTGTCATAAATTTTCTAAATGGTATGCTGATTTGTTCACAAGAACATTTGAGAGTCGATGAGTATTGAGCTTCCAAATATTCGTATGTGGCCTGTGATGGATGCGGCACTGCCACAGTCCATGTTTGTACGTCAAGCGAAAGATGGAAAACAATAATGACTACCACCACAGTGAGAAGAGCTAGATAGAGACGTGTGGCAAGGATCTCCGTGCGCAATGCAAATGCATCTGTATGGGATTCGACACTTTCAAAACGGTTCAGTTCAACTATTTTCTTCCTAGACCAGTGCCATGAGGCGGTAATGCGACCACCGACATCTAACCAAGTCATTGTCTATTCCCTAGTTTTATAATCTAAAACATGATATGATCTTGAGGGTGTGTGTGCGTATGTTTTATAGATATACTAAACCGGAGTCACTCTCGCGAGGGCAAGTCGCTAACAGTCGTGTAGTACACAACGTGTATTATACACGCATAAAGTAGGCCCGAAAGCCTAACAATAATAATAAAACCATTAGAATTCACAGAAATCCCACGGCTTTGTTGTCTTACTTTCACTTCTAGTGCAAGGAAAGCCAAATTTCACTCAAGTCTGATTTGCTTCTTCTACACTTCGTGGCCACCTCTTGCTCAATTCAGCATTGTGTGATACTTTGGATATCGCTGAAAGCACATATTCACTAGACATGAGTGGAACTAGTCCCTGTTGAATCCGAATTACCTTTTAGTTTTGCGAGGACGAAAACAAAACTGTGCCAATGCTTGTTCTTATCCGAATTCGATACCCAAATTTTGATAGCAGGCATATCAGTCAGTCACGACTTCAGAATATTCGTTATACGTCGGTGAACACTTCACAGAGGTCTGTTTCAAGCAAAAATATCCAATTAAAGCTGCTGAGTGTTCACTATATAGGTATTTCAAATTGTTTTTTTTTTTTTTTGTCTAATTTCATTTCGAAAACTATGCAATTCGTCTATTTCTGGTTTGTTCATGAACTTATTGTAAACATAACTGATACTAAAATTTATTTTCGAATGGAAGAACCGTGGCTGCTTTTAAAAATAATCTGAGAAAACAAGACCCTCAAGAAGCACTATGCACGAACATGCAATAATATATTTTGGCGCGGTCTAGACCTCACTACCTGTTGAAGAAAACGGCCTCTTTATTGCTATTTACTATCTCGTATTATTTTCAATACACTCCCTTCAGTTCTGG